GGTTTGGTCCAGCGTTAAGACGACTTTTGGGGATCTCCAGGTCAAAAGATGTTTTACGTTATGCTTAAAGTTAGTGTTTGCTGGATTTATGCGTTTATCTGATCATAGCTGCAGCAGATGGTAGATTAGCGGTAACGGAGAAGATTAGGGTTTGAAAATATTTTTCAAGAAGTATAATCCAGGGAGATAAATTTAGAAAGTGCAAGATAAAGGTGATGAGGAATTCAGAAGATTAGAATTTGAGAGAACATAAAAAGTGGATGCCATTGTCTATTCTTTGAGCCACGACACCATAAGATCCACCCAGGTGTCTTCCCTCTTCACTGAGTCTACCTACTTAGGCATTGAAGTCACCAGCCACTGTTACTATATCAGATCGCCTAACGTTTTGGAGGAGACTCGAAAGCTTTCTGTAAAACTCACCTTTCACGTCGTCTGAACTGCAGTCAGTGGGAGCGTAGGCAGATTTGATGAAGGGGCAACGGCTAGTATCCTTGTCTTTGCGAGTCCTTACTGTCCTGTTTATTCGGACAGTGCACAAGCGACTGTCTACCGGGATCCAATCTAAGAAAGTTATTTTTGCCCTCGGACTCAGTGCTGTACATACACCACTGTCTAAATTGTTAGCCTCGATTATACTTAGATGCCTAACTAGAGTTCGTGAAGAGCAGACTATAGTAAACCAGAGTGTTTTCAGACCTGGATGTGGCTGTGTAGACCACATTTTCACACTACGTCAGGTCCTGCAACGCAGACACACATTTAGGCGTCCGACAATAGTTGTCTTCCTGGATTTAAAGGCGCCATTTGACTCTGTGGATGGTGAGGTTCTGTGGCAGTGTGTGTCATTGAAAGGTGTACCAAAGAAGTATATTAACCTTATACAAGCTCTCTACTCGAAAACCACAGATCGAGTGAGGGATTATGATGAACTGTCATCGGAATTCTTTACTTTAAGTGGTGTAAGTCAGGATTGTCCACTTTCTTCATTTCTGTTTAACTTTGTCGTAGACACGCTTTTGATGCTAACATTATCCTCGTCAGATTTCTCAGGAATGGACCTTCTACCCGGAGACTCTCTTATTAACCTAGAATTTGCCGGTGACATCGTTCTATTTCGTGAAGATGTTAACAAAATGAAGTCTTCTGACTACCCCAAGCAACAATGCAAACATGTTCGGGATGCGGTTTCCCCCATCGAAATGCAAAATGTTGCTTCAAGATTGGTCCACATCGGTACCTGAACTAGTGATAGGGAGTGGAGTAGTTGAGCGTGTTGACTGCTTCCCTTATCTTGAGAGTTTCATCAGTGCCGATGGCCTGATGACTGACGAAATCTCAGCACGGATAGAGAAGGCTCGATTGGCTTTGCCACCTAGCGCTTCTTATGGCGTAGGCGAGATATCCGTCTGCTAACTAAAGGATGAGTGTCCTCTGCAGCATTTCGCTTCAGCCTACTATATGGATGCAAAATATTGCCAGTCAGAGTAGAATGCATCCGTAGGTTAGTAGTATTCGATTATAGATGTCTTCGAATTATTGATCGTATATCCTGGGACAACCGAGTAAGCAATACTGTCGTTAGGAAACGAGTACTAGGTAGGGATCGCAAATCAATATATGAAGTAATGAAACTTCATCAGTTGAGATGATTGGGACATGTGTTGAGTATGCCTGACCACCGACTGCCTCGTCGACCTGTTTTTCGATGTAGGAATAGGTTTGAAGAAAGTTAGGGGCGGACAAACCGAAACATGGCACAAATCCATGAAGTCACTGACAAGTGGATTGAATGATGTTGGTAGATCTAGACAACCTTTTCGGGGTCCGCTAGACATTCGTAATTGGTGATTAGTGTTCTTAAATAACATGGCTGAAAATCGCTTAGAATCTTATAGGTGCTTCCATTCTCTGTCTTCTTTTAACCTCTTTTATTGTTGTATACAAGACTTACTCGGACTCCGATCACACCCTTGTTTGCACCAAACTTATCTTGCTTTTTTAGTGACTAATAAACATTTCTTCCTATACAGAATGAGACGGGCGTATTGTCTGTAGCTTCTGTTGTAACCAAATATCAAAACTAATTAGGTTCTCAACTATATATTCACCAAAAGGTGTAGATGATTATTGGAGTCTTTTGCATAACGCCGTTATAGTTGTTAGTAAGGTAGCTGCTTACTTCAGTGAACCTGTTTATATGCAATAGTTTTTCGCAAGCTCTTTACAACTACTTGAAACGTGTCGGTTTATCCCTGTGAATCACAAGTTTGGCAATAAACAAAAGTCTTTACTTGAGAAAATTATGCTGTGTGTAAGGATCGCGACTTCTGGTAATTAGAGTGCGCTACCAGTCTAGAAACTGCAGCTTCTTCAGGCGACTTCTGGAAGCTTTTTCAGTTCATCCGAACAACAGACAGCAAAAGGTTCGGTGTCAGTAAAAGAAATTGTGAAGCCGGTAGGCCACCAATATGTAACACGCGATGACGTCCTGGATGATGGACAGAATTCTTTCAGAAACTTCGACCTGTGTGTTGCCCCAGCAACGTCCACTAAATTGTCTTATCATTCCAAACTCGTGACTTCGGGTCCAACTACCAAACCGAAGATCTGTAGAGAGCTATAGCTTTCAAAACGCCACGACTTACTAGGTCTGGGTGGTTTAGTCTTAGCTTCTCTTAAGGATGGTGAAAAATTGTGGTAAATGATTGAGCTGTTTGGGAATGTTTATATGTGTTCAAACGTCCTGGAATAAGTCGACCATCATCTCCATATTTATGAATGACCCACATTAACTGTGCAACAACTATAGGAAGAGAAGTCTACTGTCAGTCGCGTTGAAACTATGGGCCTCCGACATTCTTCGTAGATTGTCCTAAATCTGTAAAAAATTATTTCTCTAAGAGCAGGCTACTTCATTGTCAGGTCATGGATGTACTGGTCACATATTCGCCATCTGCCAATCGCTGTAGCGTTACTATATCTATTGTAGGCCAACGATCGTTGTTTCGTGGTATCAAGGACGCCATCAATTTGTTTGGTAGAACTCTATTCTAGAGTGGTGTATTAAAGAAGGGTATTCTGGTAAGCTTGTTAACACCTTAAAGACTGTAAAAAAATATCTCAGAAAGATTAAGGGCATATAACTGCTTCTCTCTCCTACTTTTGATTCCAATAGTGATTTAGTTAGGGTTGCTTAAACCCACCATTCCTCTCTAACTTTTACATCGATGACATTCTGGAAATAGCTCTGATGGAAGTGGGTGCCGGTAATGTATATCTGTTACCATCAGAAGGACTTTTTTATCTTGAGTATACGTATGAAATTGTACTACTTTGAAAAGATACATTTAGTATGCACATCGCATCTAATCATTTGGCAGTCATTGTCGAATATACGCATTCCAACTCTGCTTTAAGAATATACATTAGCAAAGATAGATTACAGACTGTAACACACACTAGTTCAAGTTGTTATGCTTTCCAACAAAGTAACGACAGAAGTTCAACACAAGTGAAAACAAGTGTACAAAAAGTAGTATAAGAGCGAAACATGAAAATAAGTAGCAAACAAGATCTCCAAAGGAAGATTAAGAGTGAATAAATATGCACAATAAATACAAATGTCAACCATCCTATTAAGGTTTTTTCATGGAACCCCGTAAATATAACACGTACTTTGTACACTTTAAATGCAAATACTTTCTCAAGACTGAAAAATCCGCCTCTTAATTCACTCATTGTAGTGATTCGTTAGTATTCTTGAGTCTGGGTGGTTAGTTGTGTGAATACCAACAGTGGTGTAACAGGTGAAATCAGCCTAAGCATAATAAAACCCAGAGCGGTTTATACCGATGTGGGACATCTTTGGTGCCGTCCTAACGACCTGACTGTAAAAGATTAGGTTTACAACAAATCAGCAGGAGTAGGTATGGTCTTTGTCAATAAACTTGCTCTCTCCGAGTCGAGAATGTTCAGCGACTGTGTTCAATCACGGTTGTTTATGAAGGTTTGCTGCTATTTAGTTTTAACATCATGTTAGTGGTGTTGAAGCTCGCCAATCAAATGTTTGGTTACAATGACGATAATCCAATTAATGTTGCTATCTTGAAACACTAGCTTGGCCATGTGTCACGAATGTACATCGTGTATTATTTGCCAATACTAGGTCGAATGAAAAAAGCGGAGGTGACAAATTTATGGCCTGGCGCTGTAGTATGAAAGAAAGCTATGTAGGACCGGCATTTGTAGACTGTTTGATTAGTGTACACCTCAATGATCTGAGGCGCTACCAGACATAGTTTGAAATAGGAAATCTGGACATCTCTGCTGAATACTCATATGACTGCTTTCTTTGATGACCAATACTATTGTATTACTACTGCATATCTTTACTTATGTTATATCTTAGTTATCTGGGTCTTCTACCTTCTGTTTCAACGAAATAATCATAATCTTCTTTATCATAAAACTGATAATAAAAATGCTACAAATAATTTTTTTGTAATATGTCAGTTTAACTTTAACCGTAAATCAGATAACGTTTGTAGTTTACATTCTTTTATTCATTTTACAGTTCATTTACAGTTCCTAAAAAAGAAGAATATCTTTGAAAAGCGTCCTCAGCATTCAGTTCACTAAACTAAGTGATGGGAATTTTTTCCATTGTCTGATGATTTTGCCTAATTTTACGACTCGCTATATATTACACGTACGCAACCGGTAAGAAGTAGTATTTTCCGGAAATTGTATAACTTACTACAATGTCGGTGGATATAATTACGCCACAACTAAGACAGAAAGTTTTAGAACAACTGTAAGTATCTTCTTTGGTCTTTTCTGATATGATACACTGAGTCCACATGACAAACTATTTTCTATGTCTGTACGTTGTAAACATCTTATTTATTTTATATTTTCCCTCCCCCTCAAATATAATAAGATTATGTCTGAAAGTAGAGATATTATAGTGAATTTTGTATTTGATAGTCGGTCATCAGGTTGTTTTTCATCAATTCAGAAGGTATATAAGTCTTAATGATGCCCTTTAAGTGATTTAGAAATTGTAACTGGTTAGGTAGGTATTACTACATAGAAGCAGCTTTTTTGAATCGATGATTTAAAGACTTTGCAGATTTCGATAAAGAAATAAGTTTTTTGTTTTATCATTTGAAAATACATGTGCCCAACAATGACTAGTTGCAGAAATAATTGAGTTCCAACATTCTAAGTAGTTGTTCTTATTTGGAATCTCAATTAAAGTTCTCACTGAGCTATATAGTGAAAAATCGACTGAGAAATCCCACCCTTTGTGACTTGCAACTGCAACATGTTATCAGTCTAGATTCACGTTGTGTGGAAGGGGTTTACTATAATAAATACATAATCAGACATTTTTCTGTAACACAGCAACTCAATTTATATTACTGTTGTCATCACTATAAATTGTGTTTTCTAAGATGGATTCATTTAATTGTTTTCTTTAGCCGCGAAGTAACATCAACTCGTAAACTCCCGAAATCTCCAGAGGAAATTGAAAATCTCATGTTAGAGAAATCACACGGCGTTAAAGTAATCATGTTCTTAATCCTATATTCTGTTTATTTATGTTTGGTTTAGAAAACTTACCTCAACCTTTTGTCTAAAGTTATAAGCTCAAGTAAGTTGTTTCGTTTTTTAATACAGAATACTATCACATCATATGATGATATATCTTCAAAAGTTACAAGCTACTTCATTTCATTACTAGGCAATCATTTGTAAATATTTCTATATTAACTTTATTAAAATAACGACATTTCACACTAGTGTGTCAGTGTAAAGTAATTTGGAAAAGGATTACGAACGATTAGAAAACGGTACAAAAAATAAATTGGCCAGTATCTTTTTTTCAAAGACAAGCTAAACTAGATGCTATTGTGTTATGAATGTATTATTTTTCTTTGTCCTGTTTTCATCTTACTTGTATCCAAAAATTTAACTTGTTATCTCAAAAGTTTTACCGTTTTTCTCTATTCACATTATATTACGTAACAAATTACGAACTCATTTGGTCCGTACTTATCTTCTCTGTAGTACAGATTGGTGTTTCTACCTAGTGAAAGTTTGTTGAAGTGACCTACGACTAAGTTCAATCAATCATTTGATCTTTTCATTGGTATTTACTGTATCACTTAGCTTGATTTTACTCTTAGTTCTTAGGAGACAAAATATAGATACTGACCCATTCTAATCAGCCCTTTATCCATGTTCCTTTAGAAAGTAAATAAAATGTTATTAGTTCTTATGATTTTCTTCTCTGAAAGCATCTTAAAGTACGTATAACTGATTAATACCACTGAAAAGCCAAAACCACTTACATTCACTTGCAGGTTTAGTTAACTGTTTTAAGGCGATGGTAAATACAAGACCGACTGCTCTACTTGTTAAAAGTGTAGTTTATCAGTGGTATGGTTAGAAACTCAAATTAATTGAACTGCCCATTTATAACCAGCTGATTTGATGAAATTCGTATCTAATAAATTTGCAATATTTGCATACTCTACGCTTTAAATTTTCCACAACTCAACAGTCGTCAGACCATTTTCTTTTGAAAATCGTCCACCTATGATTTCTAACGAAAGAGTGCTGTGAAGTGTTCAAGTATGCTGTCGAATTGTTTGGTTAAAAACAGTAAATCCAAGCATACTTTCAGTGAAATTAACTACAAGTGAGCTAATCAACCATCTTGCGTTTCGGTCTCTCTAACCTGAGTTTGAACATGCTGTTTGTTTGTATATTTACATATAGCACATTCGCCTTCGGTTCAAAGTCTAGCAACAATTTTTCTATTGACTTCACGGTTACCGTTTAGAGAAGCGACGTTTTCGTGAAATTTATTGTAGACTGTGTGGTCTTTAATTAGATAGATATAGATAATGAATTGCAGGTTAACCAGTCTTAAATATTAACCACTACCCATATATTGATATACGCATATAATAACATTATTTGACTCTCAGTGGATATTTTGAATGTGACTATAGGACAATTTGACTAGACATAATGATTACTTACTGTCTTTGGTTGAAATCACTTATATTTTTCTGAAACAATTATCATTTTTATTTAGGTGCTACCGGTTCTAGTGTACCAGTTAATGTTCAAGTACCTTCAAATGATCCTAATATTCAGATACAATCTATTGGAAATAACTTTCAAGTGAGCGGACAACAACATCAACAACAATTAATGAATACTCAAGTAATCTCTTTACCACGATGTGGACCTACTACAATCCAATCACATCCTCAAATTCTTCAAGTTATGTCACAAAATATGCCTAACAGTATTAATAATATACAACAAAATCATAATCGTCCAAGGTATACTATTAGTTCACATCCTATTCAACAACAATATCAGACATATCCACAAAAGAGTATTATTCAACAGGATGGTACAGTTCTTGGATCACCATCAACACATTGTATACCTGTTTCAACAATATCCAATCGTGTAAGTTTAAGTAAAAATTCAGTTGTGTTATTTTAATAATATAACATTATTATCGTTTAATTATTATTTGCCTTTGGTTCGAATTACTGAAACCTTTCGTAAAACGGCTCGGTAGTTTTTAATATGTTTTAATAGTAAAATTCCGATATTGTATTTAGATGCTAATTCCCATATTCTATGAATTGAGGTCTAGTTTTGTAGAAACCAGCTTCCTAACCACTCGTTGCAGATTATTATTCACTCTATTTATGATGTTCATTATCTAGGCATTTGAATATATAAAATAAATGCTTATACTGATCAGTAGTACTTGCCGATCAGATCAATTCTTTCAAAATAAGATAAATCTTCTCGTTTCATTCAGGCTTAAAATAATGTGATCGAAGTCTTGTAATTGGAAAAAAATTACCGTAAACGTTAATATTTAAAGTTCATTTGAGACCGCTGTGAGGTTAACATTAATTCCATTTATATTAGTTTGGTTTGAAGCTGATTCTGGAAATATTCTTGTTTTGTTGTCCAACCGATCTATCTCACTAAGCGTACATTCCTTTTTTGCGCAGTACTTTTTTTTCTTTTGTCTTCATGCGATAGTTATCAGAAATTAAAAAAACATCCACTAGAATGCTAATGAATCCTCTTCTAAGCATTAACTAAGGTGTTTGACTGGCATGTGACAGTTATTTCAAGGTAGTCTGATAAGTATGTGCGTGTTGTATTGCCAAATGAGTCTGACAAATCTACCTAAATATTCTTGGGTAGGGGGCTGAAGTAAGTTAATAATTCCATTGATTTTCTGAAACCTATTCTGCTACAGTGTACACTGAAATTAACATTTAGTATTCGCAATAACTCATTTACAATCGGTTAGGATCTATTGTTTTGTATTAATGACAAAAATTATGTTCTTACTTTTATGATCATAAGTACATAGCTGGTTAATACTCTTCTCCGTGTTGTAATATTTCAATATATAATTGCCACTGATCTTCATTTTACAAGTTTATTTTGACGGATCTTTTTTCCATTGTTTTAGATTTTTTTACCTTCAGGCGTCGCGGTTACTCAGTCTGGACAAATTATTCAATGTACCACAGGATCTGGACAACAACCAGTTCTCATATTCCAACAACCTCAGTCACAAAATATTTCACAAATGACTTCACTATCATCTGCTGATCAGTCTCTTTCACGGCAAACAATAATCAAGTAAGTTTTGATGTTCTAATCTGATAAGTAAAGTAATTCAGCAATGAGATATGTTTATTTTAAATCATGCGTAATCAATAAGTTTATGGTACTAGCTAATTTGCATGATTCTGGTTTCGATTAGCCACAAATTTTTAAGCATCTGTGTATTACAGCACTTGTAATGATTAGAAGAATCGGGGGTTTGTTAGGATATTTACCAAATATCCTACGAAGAATCATTTTGTAAGTGTAAATTCTATTGGTCAGTATTATGGTCGTCCTGACTATCAATGTCACTTCAAATGTTTTTTTCCTATTGGTTGCATTTACTGTCTATGTCATAGACTTCGATGCTGTTTCCTATTCGACCTAAATGTATAAATACGCATTATCTGTAACGTTTTATTACCCGGACCAGGATCCCTAGTCTGGGATCCTGATTCTCTTCTGGACTCGGACCTTGTAGTTTCTGGATGTTTGTAAAATACGGGTTCTAATTCATATCATGTCTTCTTTTATTCAATGGGGGTTGGGACACTCAGATTAGAGTAGCATGTCGTTCCGCCGGATCCTCGATCTTCGCTCTCGTAGTCCAACTAAGGTAAACTCGTAGTAATCCAAGCATATCAAAATGACTTGTTTACGTGTATACGTAACAGGGTTTCAAAAATAACTGCAGCTGTCTATAATAATAGATAAGAATTGATTTTCACCGTTGAAATTTAACAGTAAATATCTAGCGTATTAAAATGTTGGGAACAAGGGCTGTAGTGGTGTGATTGTTCTCAAACAGCTGTAATCCATGCAGTCACCCACGTACTTGAAGTACTCAGTCATTTGGATAGTTGCATTAACGGTTAAAGCACTGTTTTCAATCTGTAAATCACAAATCCGAACCCCGCATATCTTATTTGAGTTCATACTCCAAGATAGTATAACTTGCCCTCAGGCAAAATTTTTCTCAAAGCTGAGTTTGAAAACTCACTTTTTGATGAGTCAAATATAATTACAAATGAATCGTTCGTATACGAAAATGCATATTTTTAGATCTTAGTTTCAGTCATTGTTAGTGACTCACGCCTGTTACGCCCAATGGAGCATAGGCCGCCGACCAGTATTCTCCAACCTACTCTGTCCTGGGCTTCCCTTTCCAGTTCTGTCTACTTTTTGTTCATTCTTCTCATGTCTTTCACTATTTCTTGGTGTAATGCGTTTCTTGGCCTTCCTCTTTTCCTTTGACCTTGAGGGTTCCATGTGAGGGCTTGTCTTGTGACGCAGTTGGGTGCTTTTCGTAGTGTGTGTCCTATCCACTTCCACCGCCTTTTCCTGTTTTCTTCCTCCGCCGAATCCTGGTTTGTTCTCTCCCATAGTAGGTTGTTGCTGATGGTGCTTGCCCAACGCATCCGAAGTATTTTGCGGAGACAACTGTTAATAAACACTTGTATCTTGTGGATGATGGCTTTGGTAGTTTCCCAAGTTTCCGTCCCATGCTGTTGAACCGTCTTGACATTTATATCGGAAATTGTGACCCTGGTGTTTGTTGATAGTTGTTTTGAGTTCCAGATGTTGTTCAGTTGTAGAAATGCAGCACGTGCTTTATCGATCTGCGCCCTCACATCTGCATCGGATCCACCTTGATTGTCACTGATGCTGCCCAGATATGTAAAGGTTTTTACACCCTCCAAGACATTTCAATCAAGAGTGATTCAGTTGGAGCATGTTGTGTTGTATCGGATAGTCTTGCTTTTTCCTTTGTGTATGTTGAGAACTGCTGCTGCTAAATTGGTCGTGTCCTCTTGCATTTGTTGTTGCGTGTGCGGTAGAAGAGCCAGATCATCTGCGAATTCCAAATCGTCCAGCTGCATCCTGGCTGTCAATTGGATACCGTGCTTTCTTCCAAATGTTGACGTCTTCGTAATCCAGTCCGTCACCAGGAGAAAGAGAGAGGGTGAGAGTAAGCAATCATTATAGTTCGTACAAATGCAACCAGTAGCACAAAAATGACTCATTTAATTGTCAAATAATTTTATTTCGTATCATACAGAGTACAAGCGTCTTTCATGAATTCATCATAGTACTCAGCATAGATCAGGAACAAGTAAAATAATATTGAAAGCCTATATCCTACTGAGAAATCTACAAACATAAACACAATCGTTATTCTACCCCCCCCCCTTAGTATTCTAAGGTTCTGTGACGGTTTCCTTTTCTGATAAATGTCACTTTTATGAACAACACCACTGATTAGTACTGGAATTCTATTCCAATTGTTTTGGACTGAAGATGATGATGACTCATATTTGTAGATGTCACATTGATGTTCTATTGTCTTCTTTTGTACTTGCTGAATAACATTCTGTTTACAGTGAGAGTTCTAAATTCCCTAAGTTTGATCTCCTGTAGAGTTGTGGACGTTTCCTTCCAATAAGTCATACCTATCTTAGTACAAAATAGTTATTTAATTTTCCTTTGTTTCCAATACATTTCCTGCTTTTAATCATCACATCGAACCATATTGATGAATTCTATTGTCTAACTAAACAGCTCCATAAGTGAGCTTGGATTTAAAATTGCCAGCCTTTACGTAATTGTTATCAGTTGTGATAATCACTACTTACGTTGCTTCAACAACCTTGACTAAAACTTCGTGTTTTCTTGTTGTCTTTTTTTCTCTACTGTTATGATTCTATTCATTTCAGTTCTCAAACGATGGCATCATCTACATCTATTAAACCAGGGTGTCAACAAGATGGAATCTATGGTATGTGTCGTTTATATGTGAATTAATTACACAATTCCAATCCGTTCTTGCGAATTTTCTTTAAAATTATTTCTTTTATTCCTTCGTATGTATACGTATTAATTTATTAATTGCATAACTTAGAGATTGCTAAGAGATCAGTTTATCTTCACTTCATAAATGGACTATTATCAATACTATTATTATTGGTCAGCACCACACTTCACCAGAATGTTGTGAATGTGGTACGTACAAAGTTCTGTGTTGTTGATTGATTGATTAAGAATGTTGAGAAATAGTTTTTTGAGATTTTGGATTTACGTGTATAAGCTGCTACATTTAATGATCAGTGGTCATGACATATACATACTTTGTACTTCAGAATGTATTCTGATCTTGCGTTAATATATGATATTTTGTGCAAATTTCGATAAAACAAGATTTGAATCTATTTCTTTTGGTATTCATTGTCCAGAAAAGTTCATGTTCAGTATTCACTTAACACCAAAATATCATTGTACATGATGAAATTAATCATAAAAAATTATCTGATAAAAGGCTTCTCCAAAGCTGATTATATGTTGGAAAGGTTAATTAGCACTTTTTAAATTATGTCTGTCAATCACTTGTCGAAGGAATTCATTTAAGTGTAAATAGGCATAAGGTAAGGTAATCACATACATGTGGTAAATTATTGTTTTCATATTTTTTGGAACAATTTTTATCAATCACTAATCGAATCTCTTATTACTTGACAAACAGTTTTATCATTATTCTTTCTATGATATAATTCATTTGACAAATACCCTGGTTTATTTAGTTTATTTCAAGTTCACTCATTTTGTCAGAGCTAATAACTAAAGTAAGTGGTTTAGAGTTCACTACCGTTACATGTTAGTGTGCCACTATGAAATCACTGTAACATATTTTTATGTATTCATTGTTTAACATAAAAATAATATAGAACTAAAAAAATGAAAATGTTTAATTTTTTCCAAAATATATAAGCGTTGTACAGTTTACTTGTACGTTGTATAAAACCAACTCAGTTATACTTCTTTATTTCTGTTAACTCTTAGGACAATTCTTATATATTCATATTTATTTGACTCGGTTATTATTATATATTCAGTAGTATTGATTGTTTTAAATATTGGATCAATAGAATGTTATATTGTATCTAACATATAAAACGCGGTTATAAATGGAATTGAGATTTGAATTTTTCTGAGTTCACGAGTTTTTTTCTTCTTTAAAACAAAGCAAAGGCCAATCAATTCATGTGATGAAAATGATAATAATTTATTTTGTTGGAACACTACATTAATCGTTAATCTGAGTAACATTGGGGAATTATTTATTTCACAAGAAAATATTTCCGTTAATTCATTTTTCATATTTTCTGTTGAAATTATCTATATTTTATATTGTATAGACCGCCTATCTGGACGACGTATTCGTGGTAGGTGCTCTTAGTGCAGTAAACTAATTTGTTTAAACCAATAAATAAAATGAGTTTATGTGTGGAAAATAATACATTTGTATTAAAGGGTTTTTTTATTGAAGTAAAATAAAAAAAGTGTAAGATCAAATACCAATTATTGATAACAATAATAGTAATATTTCAACCAGTGCACCTTTTCGAAAGCTAAAAGTTACGTTGCCTATTTGTATTTGGTTTATACAAACTTTTTTTTTTATATTTGTTCATCTGTGTGTCTCTGTTTAAAACAAATGATTAACAGCAAATTTACAGTGGCGAAATAACTCTTGCTAAATGCCATGATTTTGGTCTGTTTACGATTTTGAACTTCTGCTATTTACATTTTATTACATGTTGGTGTTTTTGTTTTTGACAATGCTTACACTATTTTTACCGCTATTGCTAATGCAAAATTAACGTGTTGATGCAAAGTATGTATATTCAAATGGTGGAAAGTTTTCAACAGTTCATTATGTGTTATTTTATTCTTGTTTATTTTCCGGCAGAATCTCTTATCATCACAATACTTTTTTTTTTTAAAAAACTGCTATGACGTTTACACATGCAAACAAAAAAGTAACTTCATGTACTCTTCTCTGAAAATGTTCGTGTGTTTTACTACGAAAAGATAACATATCATGGATAATCAGTTATGTGTCCATCCGTCAAATAGGTTGTTTTTACACGAAAACTACTCATTTGACTTTAGAAAAAATAATGCGAAATTCCCAAGTTTATTTCAGCTATTTTTAGATAGCGATATACAGACACAGTAATCTAGGATGTGGCGAAATTTTGTATGTACATCATGGTTACTGTAGTTAACATCATCGAGCGGGATAGTGAAAAGAAATCGACAAAAAGAAATTTAAAACAGTGAAACTAGTGTTTCCTGAACTCAGCTTAAAAAATAACAGTGAAACAAATAACAGTCAACGATAGCAAATAAAGAGTACAGCATAATACCATATTCATAGTGTGAAGAAGGATGATAAATAAGTGCACCTATACCAGTGACTATAGTTATTCTTTGAATCTCAGAATGGAAATGTTTATATACTACTTCAGTCAAACAATTGGTTATTAACGTTAAAAACCTGATTCGTTTTGATGCAAACACTTCTGCAACCTTCTGTCGTGTTAACCAGTTAAAAACTGAGTAGACGTTTGTAAAACTGTGTATCCCAATTCCACCAGTTGATTTAACATCTTTATCTGATATTCTACTGCTGAAATTAGCATTACTCACCTGATGATTTCGAAATTTTTGGATGATTTTTTAAAACGCCTATGATTTAATACTTGCAATATACTTATGTCTACTGTTAGATAGATTCATTTTCTTGGGGAGAGATTTATCATTGATAAAAATAGACGATACAGTAAAAATTTAATCTTCGTTTTGTCGATATATCAAATGAATAAATAAACATGCAGATCCGCTTACGTATTCGTAAGGATTAAAACATTTCCTCATATAAAATCTTATTAATTTATGCTATATTTCACAGCCTGTTTATTATTATTATTCAGAAAGCTGTATTCACTCTTTCGTATTTAGAGTCATAATCAATAATTGAGCAACTTTCCACTTTTTTTTGCTCCTTGTATCTAGAATCTGTATTTTTATCACTTCGAAGCAAGATTTAGAAGTGAAATAAAACTATATAGCTGATTAATTATCTTTTACTAATTAATATGCATATATTTCACTGGTTAATGAACAAATGGTTTATACTACCGACAAACTTCAAACAGATAATCATTAGTTCTCAACGTGCTTCTTGTATATTGTTCGCTTCATTGTTCCATATTCGTAGATAAGTAATGTTTCATAGGTATTCAAGAAATATGTACGACTGTAGTGATATATTGTCACAAAGTACATCCCGGACCAGTTGTTTCTATTAAGAGTATAGTTAATTTATACATCCTACTTTTATCAAACGTCATTTGAAAGTTTTCATTTTTAAAATTGTGTTCAGTAATTGCACTTTTGTGTTGATTTAACAAATTTTGTAACGTTCTGTCCTAATTTCATATTTGAATCTTCCGGTTTTGTTAATTAGCTATTTCGTTTTTGGATTGCTTTTTATGCATGAATTACTTAATTTATGAAGAAACTTGTAACTACAAAACACAATCGAAGTGATTGTTACATTAAATTTATAGTAATGTTTACAACGATAAACTAATTAAGAGTGTAAATCATTTACAAAACACAAATTAATGTACTCAGTTTTGTGCGACAAAGTTCGTCTGAGGTCTAATAATATTACAGAGTTGTACTAACTAAAGCAACATAGAGTATAGTCTAAAAGTCATGGTTACGTAGCTCTAATCTTTTTACTGCGAACTCGAAAGTTTTAACCTGTATAATTTATATAACACGTAAAGTCCTTCGAAATCAAGTTGTTTAACTTATTAATCGTGTTTTAAGCTTGTCTATTAGGATATTTCCATCATATATGCCTTGACAGTAGAACTTTATGGTGAACAATTCATGTACTTGTATTTATAGTTTATTTCACTTTGAAAAATAAGTTATTTTTGTGTGATTTCTTATCATTTTTGTAATTGATGATTATAATCTATACAATGCCCAGTAAGTGTTGTACTTCATATTTTTTGACTGAACTAATTTCATTAAATCTTCAGTAGAATATCAAAGCTTCTCTTATGCCGAATATAATTTGATTTTAAATGTAGCTACAGTGGCATATTATAATGTTTTCTTCAAAATGTATATGAACGAATAATGATAGTAAATATCTATGAAATGATACTAGTGGTTACCTTAATTACAATGATCTTACCCTCCGACGATAATCTCAGTGATCAAATACTTACCAGAGTGGCTTTTTTGCTTGACAATAAACCTGTTTTTATTCTGAGAATACTATTGGGTTCTGTCATTTTCATTGTTTCTTCCACAGTGGCCACTTCTAGCCCAAATGCTGTTCTTATTCGAACTTCTAGTTCTGGTTGCCTGACAGTTATCAATCCGTCAGGTACAACTAGTGAATTATCTCATATCAACTCTGGACAACATTCATTACACAATGCTAATGATAATTCATCACTACCTGTTTCTGCAACAGCCGTCTCAAAACCAGTTCTCACAGTTATACCAAATCCTTCCGGAACACAAACAAAAATTATTCGCCCAAGTTTATCTCAATCACCTAAAGTTGGCCTTATTCCTAATAGTCAACTTCAAACAAGACCTAATGCACCAATCACTCAGCAATATCAACCAAAACCTACTACACAATCAAATCCCACACCTGTAATTTCAAAAGTTCAAAGTTTCGCACCAGGTAATCACCTAGATGTTAGTTTTTATTATATTACTAGTTTGTTCAGATATGAAGTTTACTGATTTCTGCGTAATTGATAATTCTATGATTTGGGTATATGCCAAAATCATTTCAAGAATAAGTGTTAGCACAGCCTCCTCGATAATGAATATCATTATTAAGTCAGAGATCTAATGTTGTCTTAAGAAATTATAATAATCAAATTCTCTTTTGTACCACCTAATTAAAATACGTGTAATCTCACTACGGCTTAACGTTTGATATCAGTTCGTCATTAAATGATTTTACTGTACATATATCAATCATTTTCCGCATATATTATCATAAATTTTATCGTAAATCTTTAGTCAAGCAAATCATTCTTTGCTAAGAGTAAGTTTTCCAAATAGAAACGTGAATTCTACTCAACAGTTTGGTCGATATAAGATTAAAAGTACCGATTATTTAACTATTTCTGATATTAGTATAATGCAGAAAAAAATCTTGATCCAACGGGCTTACCAAAAAGCGTTCCATATTCAGTGAGATGGTATTATTTCATGAAATTAGAAAAGGAAAAATTATGTCCAAACAATACAGTTTGTTAGAGTACACAACCAATACAGACCTTGTTCAATCAGTTAAGGAATCTTACTGTTAGAAAATAACACAACTAATAGGTTACAAGTGACTTACTGCGGACTTATCTTCTGAGAGATTGTTATCAAACCACTTACCTACAGAGCCATAATGCGTTAATGTATACCAATCAACTAGGTGTTTATGACATGTCCAACTACCCCCTGTTTTAGATAGGCGATGTTTCTTAGTGTAGTAATAGGTTGGAAGAAAGCTAGAGGCGACCAAACAAATACGTAGAACCAGTCCATCAAGTCACTGACAATTAGACTAAGTCATGTTAACAGTTCTAGACTACATGGTTGAGGTCCGTGTGATTATTGTAATCAGTGGTTAGAGACTTTGAGTGGCAGGGCTCAGAATCGTTTTCATTGACGCAGATACATTTAGTCCTTCACTTCCTTCAGATATTTTTTCCCGTATCGAATCTTTTCAACTACTACTACTGATACTTTTACTACTCTGGAGTTTCTCTTAAACCAATTCTATGTCTCTGTACTAATATGTCAGGGCAACTTGAATCACTGAATTTATGTATTAGGTTTCACTCTGAGAATATCAATAATAATATTGTAAATTGACTAAAAGTCGGAAATATCAGTTAATGGAGTCCACATATTAGTGTATAAAGGTAGTGAACTTGCAGTGAAATTTAGATGTCGAGTTGTGCATATTTTTTGATCTGTAGTGCATAATTTAAAGGAAAAATCTGTACAGAGCTTCTTTTGGTTCTTAACTGTTGCACTCGTTAATGTCAACTGGTGGTAGAATATATCGTCAAATCTAATTAAACTCAGTAGACAAAATAGTAAACCTTTTTTTAATATTTGTTGAGTTTAAATGAAATATAGATAACAAACAGTATGTAAATAAAACTAGACTACATCATAGAAATATATTTTTTAAAATGGTAATACTGATATAATTTAATTGTACCGCTATTATCTATTTTAGCTTAGATGTATTGTTTCGTATCTTCTTATTTACAGGTGAAATACAACAAATATCTGATAAAGACAATAAGCTACCAGAAACGTCTACTACTGTTAATACTAATACTAATAATACTACTACTACTATTACCACCACCACTACTACTACTACTTCTACTAATAGCATTAAAAAAGTTGAAGTAAAATCTGAAGTACAAGCTCAAATTATCAGTGGTCTAACTGATATAGCAAATCGTTATTTGTCAACTGTAAAACATGCTATTCAATTAGCATCTAAAAGACCGGAAGCTGCTGGTTGTGTTCGAAAATATGTTAAATTAAAAGATATTTTAGAGCATCCAGAAGCAAATTTAAATGTTTTATCATTTGCACAACTTCCATTAATTGAAAAGTTATTACATGAAATTGAACGAAATCCAATGCATCTGGTTGAAGAACATCTTCAACGCCAAGCTAAAGCAAATGCTACAAATTCTTCTCATGCTACATCTTCATCATCTACAAACACAAGTACAACTAGTACAATAGGTAATACACAATCACAAAAGCAAGATAGTCAACAACAACAACTGTCACGTCATCAGTTGAATCAACAGCCTTCTCAGTCACATTCTGTTCCAGTTTCAAGTCAACAAAAGCATGCAACTGTTATTAGTCAACAGTCACCAAATCGTTTTCAAGGTATTAGTATTATTTCCACATGATGGTTCTTTAGATTTATTTGAATTCTATATCAATATCACGTGATTAAAAATGGAAATGATTTTAGGGGATTCATACATAATGAAGTTCCGTTCTCTGATCTAGATAGTTTAGTCTTGGGGCTTTGATTGTTCCTCTGAACAACATCAGCACAAACTTCAAGTAGAAGTGAAATATTCAGATTTCTTCACATATGACTAATAGTTTGTCCTGTCGACCTCGATAATGACTGGTTATTGTTGACCTTTAACCTATCATTATTGACGTCCTTATCTTCAATTTTCACTCCTTTTAATCTGATTCTTCGTTCTATAATTGTTAATGGTTTTTTTGATTGGTTGATAAATTAGATCGATTTCGATGTGTTTGTTGAATACATATTGACACGACCGTCAAGCTTCTTAGAATCCTCTGGTATTCTTAGTATTCCGTCTGTCTAAGATTTCTACGTTTTTCTAGTCAAAGGTGTATTCACAATCGTCCAGATGCACTGATATGAGCTAAGATATCGTAGTGCTTGATCTCTGATATTCGCACAAGCGATAATGAAGCAGATGTACACTTTGTCTGATGGCACAGTTTATTTTGCAGATATTCGGTTTTCTTGTCACTTCCTTCTTTTATTTGCATGGAATTGAAGTGATTTTACTGGTTTGTGTGCTACACCTATTCCAAACGGTTTCAATAATTTCGCAACTTCTGATATCTTTTATGTATAGTAGGATAATCTGTTTGTTGATTTCTATGTGTGATTTCAATTCGCTGATAAGTTGGATTGGTATTTTTCGACGAAGCTGCATGGATAGCCGTTCTTTTAAAAGACGTTAATTAAATATTGACTTAGTCACTGGTAAAGTTGATTCTTTCAGTCTTAACAGGGAGGCCCAACTCACTGTCTTCTCATAGCAGGGATGTTGTTTACGAAGTTGAGAGGACGATGAGCGAATGTTCGTCGCTTAAACCGCGTTGATGGGTACGGAGAATCCACCTAGGGGAGTCGGAAGACCCTAATTGCAAACCGATCGTGCACATGAGCCCCAGGATCCTGAGGGAGCAAATGGCACATTAACCTATTCTTTGGCACCAGTCATCATAATATCACATTTAACGCTGTTCCACTGCCTTGTGGGTCAGATCTAGGTCAAAGGTTCCAAAAATGGCCGCCCGGGAAAATCACCCGTTTTGGTCTGAATACCCAGGCAGTACCTCAGTCCTCACACAAATCATTTAATTTGTGTTATGCATATATATTTTAGTGCCGCTTTGCATCAATGTCTATCCACTTAAATAAATCAATATTCTTTCTGCATTACGGCTTCTGGAATAAGTCCTGATGTTGATGGTTTCATTTGTGTTCCTTTCGTCTGTTCGTAGATTTTATTGCTGAATCGATAATATTTTGTTAGGCATAAATTCATCAGTTCTAGTAGACTTAAACTTTAGAGCTTCGTTTACTTTGAGAGATTTGTGTCAGTGTTGAGAAGCAGGGATAGGTTTTCCTTTAGTTTGTCTTGCTCGATTGAGATGTATAAAGCTGTTACTTAAAAAAATATCATCAATTCGTCGTTGATGTGAATCTCCTTTTATCTTACCTGAGAATTGTATGGGAGATTTGATGAAATGATTGTATGAATCAACTAAATGTTTCATTAATATTCAAATTTCTCTCGATAAATTGTATGTTTGATTTCAGAAAAGGAATACAGTTGGAGATGAGATGTTGAGCTTGTAAAGTTTCTACCCACCGTAAAATCATGGGAGTTCTGATCATTTGGATTTCACTCACGACTAATCGATTTTTATATTTCTTCTAATTTTACAAGTTTGTTTAATATCGTGAAGATTAAGTTCTTTAGTTTTTTGATTGGATCTGTGTCTATTGATTCACATACGCTTTTATCGTCGAATAGTTCCCTATCTATCATTATTGTAGGGAGTCCTTTGTCCGCTGAACCCTTGATGATTATGTTACTGTGAATGAAATCGATATTTACTATGATTAAAATGTAAAATCAAAGCTATTGAATTTGATCAATTTTTAATTGTTTAATTATAGTTGGTTTAATTGAATTTCAAAAACTCGTACATAAATATTAGAGAAAATAATGCTGAAGTTGTGAGAGTTTTCTTCTCCGGTTTTTGCTTTACTTTTTTGATGATAAAATATATCATGTATTAACTTCAATTCGAAAATCAGTAGAATCCTAAGAGTATCAGGGAACTGTTCCATTCCAGTCAGAAACTGTTCACCAGGACACCGTTACGATTCCAATCAGATAATTAAGATGCAAGTACTAACATAGGATTAACTTAAGGGGTCGGGGCAGTGTACAATAAGTATTCATCGGTGTGATATTATTTACTCAAACGCATAAATATTGGTACAAAGAGGCATATATATATTTATGCGCCACGTAAATCATTGGATTTGTGAACGTGCTGGGATACTGCCCGAACTGAAGCAGATGATTTTCTTAGGCCACCATTCCTCTAGCAACCATTTACTTATAACTACTGGAAAACATATATTTCTGAGTTTTGACGTTATTTGTGACGTTTTGCAACGACAATAATTTTTATATAATTCTTCCGTGTAGACTTTTCCCCAAGTGTTACTACTTTTACTTTTTCAATAATAAGTAATCCTGTTACGCTCCCATACATTTTTATTAGTTTTAACTATTTTTAGTCCCGACTACTAATTTAAACACACTTCTATCACAACCATTCGGTGCTCCGAGTCCATCCAGTGTGCTAGAAAATCAGCCACAAAGTGTTAATTCTCGACCACCTACTCATTTCTCACCAGCTAGTATAAATCCCACTTCCTCAATTATTCCTGATATTTCAACCACAACATCAGCAACTTCTGTTTCAGGATCAGTTGTGGAACATGGTCGATTGCCACATCCAAATCGTATTACTACAGCAGCTTCTTTGCTCGAATCATCTACTCAAAGTAGTACTGAGCCAACAGGATTTTATGCTAGTCTACAGTCATTGGCTACAGAATTCGAAAGAATATCTGACCGTATGTCACAAGATCAAGCTTATTCTCGTCGAATTTTCAGAGCGATTCATGAAGTAAGTCATTAGTATCATTCATATATTTTGCAGATTTTTTTTCCTTCATTTAAATTCCATATCAAATTATTTCCACAGTGTTTTAATAGAAGTATACATTTTGGAAATGTATAAAGAATGACTTGCATATGGAATTGTAGACAGTAAATTTACTCATTAAAATTATTTTAGTAACTGATCTCTAAAATGAATCGTTTCATGTTCAATATTTGACATGTAACACTAACACATTGTATTGGTCTGTGAGTGATTTAGCTGTTTTTTAGAGATTTAAAGCTGCTTAGAAATAAGCTGTTATGTTCATTCTTACACGCTCTATTAAAGTACTGTTTCATATTGCAAATCATACCTTCTTCTTAATGATTCAAAATGCTTGTATTGAAGACAACCATTTAATGTATGTGAATGTTACACTAACACTGAACTATTTCCACATGGTTTATGAATTTGTTTTTGAGCATAACATCATTCCACTAGGTAATTACCAATCGTATTCTGTATAATCATTAAGTTTGAAAGCTTTCTACAACAAAAATATGTTTCAAAATTCTCCCATAGATTCCAGCTTAAATATCATTCAACATTAGTTGTTACAGTAAATGATTTTGTGGATATTTTATTTTAATGACAATAGAGATGTTCAAGTATTGTCAATATACAACTAGAAAGTGTTCTTTTAATGAATCTTAAAGTGGCTTGTTTACAATGTCTTATAACGGTAGTGCATATTCACCACTGCGAACATGGAAATTGAACCTATGAACTTTGATCTAGTGCACGAACTCTTAATCTCTAGACTACTGAGTCGATATTCAATGGTCTAAATGTCCAGTTTCAATCAATCTATAATCTTGTCTGCAGTCAATAACTGTCTCTCACTCGACACGAATTAAACTCCAAATGCCACAACTTTCCACTCGAACTCCAGGAGTTACATCTTGAAGCTAGTCATTAGTGAACATATGATTGTTATTAGTATAAGGGTTTTGTAGAAATTATAGTATTTTCACAGTTGGTCTAGCTAAAATCAGTTAGTGAATTTCGATTGTTAAAGTGGTAAAATCTCCACAAATCCCCTATACCAATAATTATATTACTATCACGAGAGTTCAATATGATATTTTGCCAAATATGCATTAGTGTATAACTTACAATCTTTAAATACATTTTTCAATGGAAATAACCTAATCTATTCTTTTCTTCATTATCATTATTATTATTATTATCAGTGTTAATTATTTTCGATTCTTGTCTCTTTTTTTCTATCAAATAAAAATAACAGATTTCATTGGAGACAAAAACATTCAGAGAAAGTATTGGATTTTATCTACCTCAAGATACAAATCAATTTATTGGACAAGATAATAAATATAACCTGACAACTAATATTGATGATTATTCGAATAAAACAAATTCATTAATTACGACGTCTAATTCAAATGACAATAATAATAATAATAATAATAATAATAATAATAATAATAATAATAACAATAATTGTACTGTTTTAAATTCATTAAAACGTAAACATTCTAGTAACAGTGATGCTGCTGCTGATGATGATAATAATAATAACAATATCAAACAACAAAATATCATTGAAGTAAACTCAAATGTAAAATCTAATGAACTGACAGATGAATTAATAGTTAATAATACTACTGCATCACTATCTCCATCATCTTCATCTTCATCATTAAATGAATTTGAACCGAAAACAAAGAAATTATGTATTGGTTTAGTATCTGAAAATGATACACAGGAAAAATCCAATTCACATTTGCAATACCCGGCATTGATTAATACTAATAATAATAATAATGATAATAATAATAATAATAATAATAATAATAATAATATTAATACCGATGAATTACAAACACCTACATCACGTTCATCGTTATCATTGTCTGTAATTAAAACTGAGCACCAAGTGAGTGATGTGTATGACATTTTGTTTGCTTACTTCTTCAATAATATCTTTGAACCCTAATATTCTCTATTACTACTAATTCTTCTTCTGTCTCCACCACTATGGGATTTAAGCTGAAAGTTGCATCTTTGTGCTAATGTGGTATGACAACATGAACTGATGTACTTACGTACGAAGTTCTACGTTGTAACTGACTGACTGAGTATTTCATTGAAGCTGTTGTTGTTGTTTTAATCTATGATCTTTACGTATAGTGTTGGATTATTGGTGGATTAATAGCGTTTCATTTTGTGCACTAAAAGCTCTTTGTCATTTTTCTAGTTATCAAACCTTTTGATGATTATTTTTAATCAGTTTCTATACCAAACTTGATCATTGTATTTATGTTTACTTTGAAATGATGTTATCTTATATCTAAGTAGTTAAAATAAATGACATTTATGATAATTAGTATTCTTATTGAAATAAAACAGGTTTATATCATTGTGTATATGATCCATATGAATTTACTAGATTTTTTAGCATTTAATTATTCTCTCACTAAGCATATATTTTGAAGGAAGAACTTGTAATATTTATTTAAGATTCATTGAGAAATAAAATTGTTTCAATGATTAGAGTGCTCTGGTTACGTTTATAAGTACTCGTCTTTTGTAAACTTTCTGTATCCGAATGATAAGTAGAATGTTATGACTCAAAAAAGTGTATCTCTGTAATAGATCCTTTGTTTATCGATTGATGATTCAAATTTGAATTGCCTTCTGTGATTAGACGATTATTTGTATCACACTTCTTATTTTGCAAAAAAATCAATTAATTTCATTTAACTGTGGGAGAAGTTTGTGCAGATTGTCGAACCAATAAACACTGAACAGCTATTTCGTTGTTCTTAAGTCCTCTACTTGAATGGCTAATACACTATACAACCTTTGGCACTACGACTAATAGAAACCCCCCTAGGTTACAAATCAAAAGCCAGAAGAGAACAAGAGAAACTTTTCTTCAGTAAGTATCAAAATGTACAAAGAAAACATGTGTATTTATAGCTTTTCGAACAGGGTGAAAACATCAATAAAATCATTCAGTCCGCAATTAGCGATGTTACATCATCATCCAATCAGCTTACGCCATATCGACATTCTAGAAATCCTGTCGACCGTAATTGGATGGAAACTATGGCATTGCAAGGTCCTGGAGGCTTCTAGGAGCCATTTCTAACAGTTTTGGTATAGGGCTCCTCGGTAGCACGTATTTGCCACTCCACCGGGGATCAGAACCGTTGGTCTTGTGAGTGGATGACAACTGAGTTTGGTCTCTGTCTGAGTCATCAATATTCACTACTGAGGAGTCTCATACTTGGATGAAACTGCTATTCAGTGCTTCCTGCTTTTTAATGGTTGTTTATTTAAAACCAATACATAATGTAGTTGGAAATGATTTCATTTTACGTTTATGCGTGAGTATTACTGCATGTATTAATTTGAGGATTAAATCCACTTAGGAAAAAAAATGTTTGAGTGAAATACATTGTTAGTCTGTTCGTTGTATCCTAAAAAACAGCAATTCATCTTGATAAGGATTGGTTCATCTTTTATTTTATTGCGTCTAAATAAACTTATTTCCTACTTCTTATCAGTTCACCCTAAGCAGATAATTTTTCGTATACTTATCTCAACGCAATATCTTGTGCTATAGTTGCATTTTTTTCTTTTATATCTCTTAGTATTCTTATTTTAAAATAGAAGTATGACTGTTATGAGTTCTGTTTTTTTAATCTTGTGTAATAGATATATTTTTAATTATTGATTTCATAGTTCACTATAATTGTTGTTTCCTACAAATTTTTTTCTTCAAGGGTTCAAATGGTCCATCTGGTAAGTCAAAGATGTTTTCTTCTTGTTGATAAGATATAATGATATGAATTTTATACACATAATCTATATATATTCTTGTTAAGCGAAATTGTCATAAATACATATCATAGTGGTAGAGATAATAGAAGTATTAGCAGTAATGGAGAAGATTAGGGTTTGAAGAAATGATTCGAGAAGTATAATTCAGTAAGGTAACTTTGGGAACAGAAAGATACAGGTGATGAGGAATTCAGGAGACTAGGATTTGGGAGAAGACAAACGATAGATGCACCTGCACCATTGCAAGTGATTTCGAGCCATGTCGTTCATGGTCTCTAACCATCGATTATTATCATCTCGTGGGCCCCAACCAGGTAGCCTACATCTACCAACGTGACTCATTCCAGTTGTCAGTAACTTCATGAATTTGTGCCATGTTTTGGTTTGGCCACGCCTAGCTGTCTTCCAACCTACTCCTACATCACAAGACATATCTCGTCGAGGCAGTCGGTGGTTGGGCATTCGTAAGACATGTCCTAACCACCGCAACTGATGTAGTTTCGAAACTCCATCTATTGATTTGCCATCCTTAACTAGTACCTGTTTCCTAACAACAGCACTGCTCACTCCATAGTCCCAGGACATACGAGCAATGCTTCGGAGACACCTTTGATCGAATACTAGTAACGTATGAATGTCCTCTACTCTCACCGGCCATGTTTAACATCTGTGTGGTAGGATGGAGCGAATCGCTGCACAATACACTCGTCCTTTGGTTAGCAGACGGTTATCTCGTCTACGCCATAAGAAGCGCTAGGTGGCAAAGCCAATCGAGCCTTCTCTATCCGTGCTGAGATTTCGTCAGTCACCAGGCCATCGGCACTGATGAAACTCTCAAGATAAGGGAAGCAGTCAACACGCTCAACTACTCCACTCCCTATCACTAGTTCAGGTACCGATGTGGACCAATCTTGAAGCAACATTTTGCATTTCGAGGGGGGAAACCGCATCCCGAACATGTTTGCATTGTTGCTTAGGGTAGTCAGGAGACTGCGTTTTGTCACCGTATGCACCAAGTAGAACTATGTCATCGTCATATTCTAAGTCAACAGGCGAGTCTCCTGGCAGAAGGTCTACTCTTGAAAATTCAGACGAAGATCATATTACCTCTGAAAGCAGGTCTGTGACAAATTTAGACAAGAACGGAGAGAGCGAACAGCCCTGACTGATACCACTTGAAGCATTGAGTTCCGATGACAGTTCGCCATAAGCTCTCACTTGACCAATAGTAATCGAGTAGAGAGAAGTTGTATAAGGTTAATGAACTTCTTTGATACACCTTTTAATGACAGACACTGCTACAGGACCTCACGATCGACAGAGTCGAATGTCACTTGAAGGTCGAGAAATACTACTATTGTGATGCGTCTGGACTTATGTCTATGTTCTAGGACCGGGCGCAGTGTGAAACTGTTATCTATACATCCACGTCAAGGTCGAAAACCAGCCCGGTTTTCTCTAGTCTGCTCTTCACGAGTTTTCGTTAAGCGTCGAAGTATTAGTGTGGCCAATATTTTAGATACTATTTTAGTTAGACTTATCCCTCTGTGATTATCACAAGAGGACTTTTGTCCTTTCTTGTAGACTGGGACAATGAGTATTTGACACCAGTCGGATGGGATTACGTCCTGTTCCCAGATTCTACCTACGATCTCAGTCAATCTAACTGCTAAAACTGGATAGCCATCCTTAAAAATCTCAGGGATAAGCTTGTCAGGCCCTGCTTCTGTCCCTCGCTTCATATTTCCTAAGCTTTCACAACTTCTTAAATACTCGGATGACGTATATCGATCTGCAATTCAGGATGACTTGAGATCTTGTGTAACCGAAGTGTGGCTGAAAGCCATTCTAATTGATCCCTGAAGTGTTCTGCACGTCGATCCAATCTCTTGAGTTGAGAATGAATCATAAGCTCATCCTTTTCTGAGATAGTTTCGCTAACAGATGGATTTCTAATACCGGTTTGCTTGATTGGGCGGAAACCTTGTCTACTATTACCAGTTGACACTGCTTTTTCCATATCTCTTGCTTTCGCCACCCACTGCTGTTCGCGATCATTGCTTAGTAATCTTATCAACCTGAGCCTAAGCTGACGCCGCTCCTCATCCTACTCAGAGCCAAGTGAGATGAGTTTCCGAGCGTATATCAGTTCGGTGGATGCTACTGAGATCCATGGCTTCTTCCTAACCTTATGATGTACATTGCTAGCAGATATCACTGCTATTTCCACAGCCATTTTGATATCGTTCCAAGCTACCTCGGGATGGGCACCACTTACATGGTTGGCTAGCTGTTTTTCTAGTTATTCCTGAGATATATTCTTAGCTATGCTATCATTAAGTAGAACCTTAAGAGGTTTCCTTACGATGTCTTTCCCACGTTCAGTAAGTCTCAGAGAAATACGCACTCGCACTAGAACATGATCTGAATATAGACATATACTCCAGAAAGAGCGACAGCGGTGGCTGATAGCGATGTGACTTAATTGGGTCCAGAGTTGAGATGACTTTGTGGGTCGTCAGGTCAAGAGATATTTTTCCTTGAGTGTGTTCTAGAAATAGGCGGTTATCTGAGCACAGTTGCAGCAGACGGTCACCATTATCTGTTCTTTGAGCCGCGACACCATAAGATCCACCAAGGTGTCTTTCCTTTTCACTTGGTCTGCCTGCTTGCGTCAGTGGGTGCGTAATCAGGTAAGACGAAGAGGCAACGGCTCTTGTCTTTGTGAGTCCTTCTTGTCCCGTTTAGTCGAACAGCGCATAAGCGACTATCACCGGGGATATAAGCTAAGAGGGCTAGTTCTGTCTCAGGACCTAATACTATACCAACACCAGCGAGGCCTCGGAAAGCAGCATGAGGGCTTCCAGATACACTGAGTTGGTTCTTTGGACAAGGTGAGTTCGATTTAATAACTGTTCTCAGATCCTGAATGCGCATTTTGGAAGCGCAGCATACATCGATGGCGCGAGATTCTAAAGTACTAGCTATGGAAGCTTGTTGTTCCAGTTGATACAATGTCCTTATGAGAAGGCCGCACCGCTGCAGATACTGATTGTCCGAGGGAAACACCTTACTGCTGACACACCCCTCTACAGTCGGTAGTACGACTTCGCCCTCAGACTATGAGCAGTTGCTTTTAGTCTCGCCGTTCTCTAATCGACCTGCCTGGCATGGTAGTACCTACAGAAACATATGTTTGGGCCAATATAGCACTGTCGGTAAACATGGCTTAGTAAGAATATAGGATATTCATATGCTACCAGTATTCGATCATTGGCGTCTTCGAAGCATTGCTTTTGTGTTCTGGGACTATTAAGTAAGGATGACAAATCGATTGATGATATAATAAATCTGCGTAGGCTGTGATGGTTGGGACATGCGTTACGGATGCATAACTACTGATTACCTTGACGAGTGATGTTTTTTGTTATAGGCGCAGGTTGGAATAAAGTGAGGGTCGGTTGAACCAAAACATAGCACAGATTGATCAATTCACTGACAGCTAGACTGAGTCATGTTAGTAGGTGTAGACTTCCTGGTCGGAGTCTGCGAGACAGTGACTTGGCTCAAAATCGTTTGCAGTTGTACAGGTGCATCCACTATTTGAGCTCCCTCAAATTCCAATCTCCTGTATTCCTCATGCCCTTTTTTCTCTTTCTAAACTTATTTCTCTGCGTTATACCCGTCGAATCATATATTCGATTTCTAATCTTTTCCATTACAACTAAAACTGCTACAGCTTCTACTATTGGATTTGAACTGATAATTGCATCCCTTTGTGCTAATGTGTTACGGTAACCTGAACTGATGTACTTACGTACGAAGTTCTACGTTGTAGCTGATTGGCTGACCTATTATTTGCCTGGGATTGTGGAGCATATTGCCCTTCGATCTTCGACACCTTAATAAAACTATCTTCAAACATTATCTAGCACATAAACTTTGTATCAATCATAAATTTTACTTAATTTCTGTTTATTCATTTGAATCAAATATATGTCCATTTTTATCAGATAAAAATTATGGTAAGTTTTACACTTAAACTTGAATAGTTTATCGCCACATTTTATTAGTCATTCGAGGATTATAAATTAATTCATGTGTTTTATTCATTAAATATTATTGTGAATCGATTAAAATTATGCTGTTTTTTTCAAATAATAATTATTATTATTGAATTTTTCAAAAAACGTTTATTTACTTTTATCTTTCTTCGCGATAAATGTTTTTAAATTTTTGAATTGGTATACTTTATCTATTTTTCATTTAATTATACTCACATTTGATTGATAAAAACGTTCTTTATGATCATTAATTTCTTACTACACTAATAAATATCTGGATTAGATTTGAGTTTGGGCAATTCACAGTCGATCTTTTTTTCAATAAATTCGACACAAATATATGTATGTTAGGACGCTTTTGTTCAGCCACTTATTCCTTGAGTGTTTTTTCCATCTAACAAATAATAGTATTTCATTTACCTTTCTGTCTCTTCATATTAAGTTGTAATTTGGTGATATTTGAATGTGTTATTTTATTGTTGGATATGTGTTGGGGATGTTAGATCCCCAAAACTCGGTCGATAAATGCCTTATTTTGGATTTCACGCTTGCCAGCATGAGCTGATCAGTTGACCTTGGGATTTCATTTCCCACCAGGAAAATCCATGGCTGTGATTGGCTGCTGTGTATTTTAGTTTGCTATTTTTTGTAACTCTCCCAAGGACGTTTCTATGATGTATAAATAAACGAGAGTTGTATGCTTGATTATACTGTGATTTCTGGGTGTTTGTAGAATATACTTTCTACGCTTACAAAGCCTTTTATCTTCAGCTTGGGATTCAAGGTAGCCCACCTGGACGCTGGTAATTGTCTCGTTTGCGTTTATCGACTAAGGTGAACTCGTAATAGCTTCAAGCGTACCTAGTGACGGACCCTACAATATGCCAAGAGTCTTGTTATATTCATTAAAAAAAACATATTGTTATAGAGGAGAAATCTTTTTTTTTCAATCAGCATTCGTAATTTCTAAAATGTTGAGATTCTATTGAGAAGCAATTTAGCCAGGAAATATAAATACTATCACTGAGATCAGAATCTAGTTACATAATAGCAGCGCTCTAATTTTATCATAAATGCATAAAGATTTCAAAAGTCAACTGCAGTTAAATCTCATCTAAACCTGGATACAAGAAAGCCGTGTTACTTGAAAACCTTGTCTTTGTTTCTCAGTATTATTTACTAAAGTAAAAACCGAACTGATACGATAACCGAAAATTAAGCTTCATGGCTAAGTCTAAATCAATTAGAAGATGAATAACCTACAAGCTAATTTCCTTCAATAGTCGTCTATGATATTCTATTCTGTTTATTTTGTCTCTATATCCTGATTGTATTTTATTTTATTATTTGGAGAACCTGTTGATTTGGCTGTAGTCATTTTGTTTTTGATTTCTAATCATTTAGAAGTTTTGTAAGCGGTCATCACTTGGTCACATCATATCATTATATGCTTCTGTTGAATTGATATTCTACTCATTGTTTTGGTCTCATCAAATCAGTAAAACTGTTTTCTATACCATTATGATCTTTGAATCCTTATGTGAATACTGTAGTCAAAACAGTGATTTAAAACATTGATATTTAGGAATTTTATGAAACCTGGACTTACTATCTATGTATACTATTTAATTAATTTGCTCATTCGGATTTTGAATTTTGAATTCGATTATGAATTAGAAGTCCGAAATATTCATTTCAGTAATTCTATTGCAATTGTTTGTTTGTTTATGTATTTGTAGAAAAATTATTCATACAAACAGACATAGTGTATAATCCCGAATCTGATCCATTGGAACAATTTCCTACAGATCAGCTAGATCAATTAAATCCGAAAATTCTTGTTGAAATATCTAAATTACAAGCGTTGAATATTCAAGTTGAAGGCAATTCACATCCTCCATGTATTGATGATATGGAAAGTTATGCTACATGTTTAGATGCTGGTGAATGGAATACAAGTTGCCATTTAAAATTAACATATTTAGATAAGGTAATCTGTATGCTGAGAAACTTCTAACATGATTATATCTCTTTTTTAAAACAGAAACGTATTCACATCAAAAATGGTTTTATCTTTTTAAGATTTTTGAATGGTTTTGTTATAACAGGAGGACTTTTAGGAGGAGCTCGCTCTTCCTTTCAAATTGTTCTCACATGTTCGCAAGCGTATAACCGCTGCCAGAGAAATCCTACTCACTTACTTCTCGTGGCAGGGAAATTAAACTAAGTAGGCGTTTAAATCGGGTTGATGGGTACGGAGGATCCTTCTAGGCAGTTGGAAAACTCTGGTTCCAAACCAAGTGTGCATAAACATTTAGATGTCACTTTGTACCAATAATTATGCGTTTAAATAAATGAATAGATAAAATAGTTAGCCGAAATTTGAAGTAAAGTTAACTGCTGAATACTCATTAATATCTAATCAATGAGCAAATAATGCAAAACTCCTGAATTAATTAATATCATATGAAACAATAAATCGGTCAGCAAGAACTCACCTCTTTTCAACAGAATCATACACGTTTATGTATGAAGTTTTTAAAAAATCTTAAAATACTCTAGGTGATTTATTCTTATCTTGTAGGCTATCCATTTCACTTTTTCTTTCTGTTACCTCAAAACCTAGTTCAGGAGAAATTCAAACTTGTCTGTTTATTGAAAGCTAATTAATATTTATACATTGTCATGATTTATACAACGCACTGATCATAGTCGGACGACTTTTGTAGACTAGAAAGTACTGGACATTTTTTCATATTAGTATGTGCTCATAGTGACTGGTCCCGAGAAGAAATCCCCAGAGTTAAAGCGGAAAGCCGTGGTTAGTGGGGATCAAAATGTAAGGCAGCAACAGTATTGAAATATGGTTGCACAATTGATCGCAAATTGATTAAAATTGTTATATTTGTCAACTGTCGAATTCGGACTCTGTAGTTTGAATGATTAGGCATGTTTAGCGAGACCTGCAGACCCTGAGTTCTATCCCTAGCGAGGTTGTGGATGTACATTACCTGGACGAAACAGCTGTTAATTACTTCTCTCTCTTTAATAGTTTCCTAACTAAGATCATTCAGTGATGTGAATTACGAAGTTCAACAATCTCCGGAAACCCACTATATATATATATATATATATATATATATATATATATATATATATATATATTACTTTCAAGGAGTAATTGTAATATTTTGTTCACTTTCGTATACATCGGAAATATTGTCATGCATATTACTTATTTCTTTTTCAATAACAATAATGACTATCTATAGGCATGTCGTTTACCATGTGGATTGCCAGAATTTTATATTCGATTAACTCCAGATTATTTACAAACTGGTCAATTAAATTGGTATTATTTACCAAAAGTGAAATATCTCTCTTCATTAAATAATTCAAATAAAGATGCTGTGAATTATTTAGATAATTCTGAACGATATTTAGATTTATACTATGATGAATTAAATAAACAATTTGATCGAATGAAACAATTAACTGATCATCGAAAAAGTTTATTAAAAATTGGAGTAACATGGGTAAGTCAAAATTCATGTTATTATTTTATTTTATAAAGTTTTTTTTTGGCCTGTTGAACGAAGTGGCGATAGCTTCAGGCTGTTAGTTCCGTAAAAACCTCTTCTATTCACATTTAATAGTTTTTTGACTCGTTTACTCATTCAATGTTGATAATGATAAATACCGTGTAGACTGAAAATGTTAACTGAAGTCGTGCAGTCAATACGTTAGACTCACTGGAATAATTCACCCAACGTTGATTAAAGTTAAGACTGTGTCACCTCTTCGAAACATTCATACTTACCTGTTTACGCCTGTAACCCACAAGAGAGCATAGATCGCCGACCAGTATTCTCTATCCTGCACTCGCCTTTCCAGTTCTGTCCAATTTTTGTTCATTCTTCTCATCTCTCTTTTCATTTCTCTGCGTAAAATGTTCCTTGGCATTTCTCTTCTCCTTTGTCCTTGAAGATTCCAAGTCAGGGTTTATCTTGTGACACAGTTGGGTGCTTTCCGCAGTGTATGTCATATCCACTTCCACCGCTTCTTCCTGATTTCTTCCTCCACTGGAATCTGGTTTGTTCTCTTCCATAGTAGGTTGTTGCTGATGGTGTTTGCCCAACGCATTCGAAGTATTTTGCATAGACAACTGTTAATAAACACTTATATCTTCTGGATGATGGCTTTGGTATTTCTCCAAGTTTCCGCTCCATACAGTTGAACTGTCTTGACGTTTATATTGAAAATTCAGATTTTGGTATTGGTTGAGAATGGTTTTGAGTTCTAGATGTCGATCAATTGTAGAAATGTAGACATCGCTTCACCAATCCGTGCCTACCAATCTTCATTAGATCTACTTTGCTCGTCAATGATGCTGCCAAGATATGTAAAGGTGTTAACGTCCTCCAAGGCATCTCCATCAAGAGCGATTTGGTTGGCGTATGTTGGGTCCCGACTGTAACCGCTTCCTTGACATGGTGGTCGGGCTTGCCTATCGTGATGACCCAACCGAGCTACATTGGCTGGAACGTATGTTTCGGTAGGTTCTATGTTGCCAGGCAGGTAGATTGGAAAAAGATGAGACGCCGAGGTCGTACTGCTGATGGGAGAGGTGTGTGACAGCAGTAAGGTGTTTCCCTCACACAACCAGCATCTGCAGCGACGCTGCCTTCTCACAAGAAAGGAAAGGGTTTCAAAAGGTCGACCCTAAAAATGTCACATCTCACTTTACCTCACGGATTTCTGTCTCCGGCGGTGGGGGCTCTTAAACAAGAACGGATCTAACAGTTCAAAACCTCATAAAAGGCCGTGCGTGACCGACGTCAAGCAGATGTACTTTGGACTCTGCGGTCACGCTCACAGGTCTCTAAGACCAACACTAATCTACATTCCTTTTCAAGTTCCTCAAGAAGTATTACCCTTCCACGGTGTGGGCAGCCAGGAAGTGACATCCGCCCTCATACCCGTAGTAGCACACTGACTAACTGACGCATGTTGTGTTGTATCGGAGGATCTTACTTTTTCTTTTGTTTATGTTGTGAACTGCTGATGAGGCTGCCGCTACGCTGGTCGTCTTCTGCTGAATTTGTTGTTGCGTGTGTGATAGAAGAGCCAGATCTTCCAGCTGTAACCTGGCTGTCCACTGTATACCATGCGTCCCTCCAGATATTGACATCTTCATAATCTAGTCGATCATCCGGACTGTTAATAAATACTTGTATCTTCTGGATGATGGCTTTGATAGTTCTTCAAGTTTCCGCTCCATTCAGTAGAACTGTATTGATGTTTGAATTGAGAACTGTGATTTTGCTGTTGGTTGAGAATGGTTTTCCAACTGTAGAAATGCTGCCTTTACTTTGCCAGTCCACGCCTTCATATCTGCATCAGGTCCACCTTGCTCATTAATGATGCTTCCCAGGTTTGTCATAGTTTCTACATCCTCTAAAGCTTCTCCGTGAAGTGTGATTTGGTTGGTGCATGTTGTGTTGTGCCGTGTCGTATTGTATCGGTGGATCTTGCTTTTCCTTTGTGTTTGAGACCTACTGCTGCAGAGGCTGCTGTTATACTGGTCGTCTTCCCCAGAATTTGTTGTCGCATGCGGAATAGAAGGGCTAGATCATCCAGATCGTCCAGCTGCATCCCAACTGACCACTATATACCATAATTCCTCTGAAAAGAGATGTTAACGTCTTCGTAACCCAATCAATCATCAGGAGAAACAGAAAGAGTGCGAATAAGCAACCTTGTCTGACATCGGTCTTCACCTCGAACGAGTTTGTCAGCTGTTCACCGTGCACAATTTTGCAGTTCGGTCCGTATGATGTTGACTATCTTCTCAGGCACGCCGTAGTGTCGAAGAAGCCTCCATATTGTTGTCATGTTCATTCTATCACGTGCTTTCTCGTAGTCAGTTCGGTTTATTTAGAGTGGTGAGTTCCATTCAATTGATTGTTCCACAGTGATCCGTAATGTTGCAATCTGGTTGGTTCATAATCGATCCTTCCTAAACGCAGCCCGTTGAAGTCCTTCATTCTGTTGAAGACTTTGCCTGGTATTGAGAGAAGAGTGATGCCTCTGTAGTTCTCACACTTGCTGAGATCTCTTTTCTTTGGTATTTTGATGAGGTATCCTTCTATGTACTCTGTTGGTACTTGTTCTTCATCTCAAATCTTATTGAAGAGAATGTGAAATGTTTTTGCAGTTGCTGCTACGTTTGCTTTAATTGCGTCTGCTAGAATGTTGTCTGGACCTACTGCTTTGCCGCTTTTGATTTGTCTGATGGTCATGTTGAGTTCTTCAATTGTTGGTGGGCCAAGCTTGATTAGTAGGTCCGTGGATGTTTCTTCGATGGTGGGTGAATTCATTGTGGCTGGTCAATTGAAGAGTTCTTTCTTCATATCCAGTTTCGTACATGCCAAGCTTGGCATCAGAACAGTCAAATCCTTTGATGAGCATCTGTCGACGATTGACTGCAGCCTTTCGTAGAATTAATCCTTAACGTCTTGATTGTAGTCGTTTGTAGTTGCATAGCATTGGTTGACGTTCATTGTAACGCCCGTTTTCTTTGTTTTGAAGGATGCTTTGATGATTCTGGGTCCATGAGATTCCCATCCTATAAGTGCCTTTTGTGCTTGTTTGGACAGGATTAGTGCAACTCCTTGTTTGTGTGAGGCATTTTTTCTTCACGGCTGGAGTACAGCAGCAGCTCTACTGAAGCTAGTGTCAGTTTTTCAACTTGGGTCCAATGCATTTCAGTGAATCCAAGCACCTCCTCCAGGTTGTATTTTTTCACTTCTGCAGCAACTTGTAATAGTCTTCCGGTCTTTCACAATGTTCGAACGTTTTATGTACTTAAATGAATGGTTGGTCTGGTTGTGAGAAAGGACATCGGCCTCGTGACCTCCGAGGGAACTCGGCTTTCATCATAAGACGTTGTAACTCTTCTGATAGAAAGCCCAACTGCCAGAGCAAAATTAAAATGGGCTGAATTATTTATTCTTGTAAGCGTTTTTTAGCGAGTTATTTTTTTGTGGGATGGGGTCGCCAACCGCATGCTTAACCCCCTCCCTTATCCGTGCTCGGGACCGGTAGTAGCCTCAGAGGGTTCCTGACGGGGTTGAAAAGTTCATGCAAATAATTCGTGCTTTGACATCAATAATTAGCTCTTATTCAAGTTAATGAACTGAAAAACAGTTGATTTTCAACACATATGAGCACAGAAATAACCGGTGTAATGTAACTGGATAAATTAAAACCATATTAACCAAGACGGGATCAATTAATTTACGATTGACCAACGAACTACTGGAAAGAAGATCAAAGGATTTAAATTAGTTACTCATAAGTAATGTAGTTATGACAGGCAAATTTCACAATATATGAAAATTTTGTTCAATTTGAAAAGGCTTTGATCATTCCGTTGTTGATATTTTGACTGGAATTCTGTTGATCTTGGCTGACGAGCTCCAAATGATATTAAACTAACCTACTGGATTCGACCTCTAGCCACATTCCATCTATTCTACGTAAATATGTTAATGGATTTTCGATTGTTAAGTTTACTATTAGATCCAGCTAATACAATAATACAACCTTTAGTTCGAATTTTCCTCCGCCAACATGCACGTTGCAGTATTTGAAGTTTACACCATGTCGAACCTGACGGCAGAAGCAACAGGTTATCAAACTTGTTTCGCTGCTCCGGAAATCTTAGTGACAGATAGTACAGACAACCTGAAAGATTTGTAGCTACGTTGAAAACGGAGCTGACAAAGTAGAGAGGAGAAGGAATATCAAATCACGTAGTAAATAGATCGCTAACATCTTATCAAGCTACCCCTAATCCTACTGTACCAAAGGGAAAATCTCCAACAGAGTGCATGTTGGGAGAGAAAAATGGAACTAAAAAATTGTTGTTGTATTAGCTGGATCTAGTAGTAAACATAACAGTTGCTTTAATTTGAATTCCATATGTACTATTTCTCGAAGTATTTAATTCACTGGGGAGAGGAAGTCATTTACAACATCCTTTTGAATAAAGTTTAACAATAATGAGCGCATACTTCAATCTTGGCTGCTTATGAACGCGTTGCATAGTTTAATTAAAATTTCTGATAAGCAAACAACCGTTCATTTAGTTTTTCGTATATGTATATGAATAGATTATTAGTCTGTTATAATTGTTGTTAATTTATCAGTGTGTAACCATCACATTATTCCTACCTTTTTTGTTTTATTCTTTTCTTCAAGACCAGTGTCATTTGTGCATCAATGGCTCGTTTTTATAAATTTGATCACAATTTATTAACAATTGCAGCTATCAAATCAATTCAACAAAATACTCAATTAGCTTATTAAATAAATAAAATGTTATATATATTTATATATATAATGTGTCTTGAAAAATAACGAACATGAATATAAAAATACTTCATTTTGTTTTAATGATAAATTATAGTAACAATTTAATATCTAACTTTCTATGCAATTGTTTTATGTTTATAACTGACTTCAAAATACCAATAATGAATTGATGTGTATCAAAAAAAGTTTTTTTTTATTGATATCGTGTATGCATATGAGTGTAATATTTTTAATTCTTAGTTAGTAAATTGTACAAATGATTAATTTGGTTTGAACTATCACTTTAGCAAGTATACAATGATGATACTCGTATCGTTTGTAGTACTTCATATCTGACTATAAAATTATGATAGTTGAATTTCTCAGTGTATATTAATGAGTTTTTAGGAGATAAATATCTAGCCAAAGTAGGTTTAAGGTTAGCTACCAACCTGTCGATAAGTATAAATAAGTATCGGCTGCATTTTCATAATGTTATAAAAATGATAATTAAAATCGTTCTCAGGTTCGTAAAACGTCCTGCTGATAAGCACTAATCTTTTGCAAGCTCATTGCAACTATCGGTTTGCTCTCGTTAGTTGTGAGTTTAATAATAGACGTAGATCTTTGCTTAAGGAAACTAGACAAATTTTGCGTAAGTATCGAGAAACCTGGTTGTTGGAGTGTGCTATCAAGCTGACAACAGCAGTTTCATTTGTTAACTTCTATTGCCTATTTAAAAGTTATCTGGAAATAAGTTTGCTTCCGATTGCTTTCAAATTATTGGCTTCCATCATACTTCGCAGTTTGTTCAAAACCCACAGAGAGCAGGCTGGTGTCGGTTCTGGTTTAGGATTTATCGATCATATCTTCACCCTTCTCCAAATATTGGAACGCAGTGAAACATATTGCAGGACAACAATCGTTTCTTGACATTAGGGCTGATTTTGATTCATTCAATAGGACTGTTCTCTAGGATTGCCTATTGAAGAAGGATGTCTAAAAAGTTGATTAATATCCTGAGGACCCTATTTACAAATACCTCAGGCAAAGTGAGAGGATAAAACCACCTCTCCATTATTTCATTTAAGCAGTGGGGCTAGTCAGGGTTTCACAGTCTTACCATTCCTCTTCATTTTTTCTATCGATGATATTCTGGGAATAGTTCTAGTGGATGTAAGTGATGGTGATATGTATCTTCTACTTGGAGACCTTCCCTTCTTCAGTATACGTATGATATTGTTTAATTTTGCTATGATACTCAAGCCATGCAATCCGAACTTAATCAGTGTCCGTAGGTATGACATTTGCTTTGCACATTACAAGTGCACTAACTCACTAAAAAACACCAACCAGTAATTTTATAGATCACTTGGAGCTATTCAAATGCGTGTTAGCCGTAACTAAGGAAAATACAAATGGTAAAGTCACACAAGACTGACAGCAATTTTAACAATATCAGGGTTGACCTTGACGTTAACTAATCGAAATAGCCCGTGGAAATGCTTTCGTGTAAGAGCTTTAAAATGAAAAATAGTTAAAACATTGAAGGTTGAGAGTTGTATCAACATAAATGAACTCATTCGTGTTAACTGTTAGTCATTTATGTTGGATATCGTAGTTCTGTAATGGAGCTAAACCTTAATTCCTTGCCCTACATCTTATAAAACCTAACTCCTACCTTAAAACCCTTAAACCCAAAACTTCTCCTCCATAATTATTAATCTTACTGATTTTATTTATTTAAACACATAAACATCGGTACAAATGGGGAACTTAAGTATTTATACGCCACACAAATTAATGGATTTCTGAGTGCGCCGAGATAATGCCTGAACCGAAGTAGGTCGTTTTCTTAGAGAGCCACACCCCGAGCCTTTGATCCAAATTCCTATCTGTAGGTAGTGGAGGAACCTCCGGATATACGATCCTATGATAGCCTGAGACGAGAAATATATTCATACACCATTCGTTCTATTATCACCCAAGAGCCCCTGTGATACATTGGTTTGAAACCAGGGTCTTCTGACTCCTATAGGTGGATCCTCCGTTTTAAGCTTCGAACTCTCGCTTTTCGTCCTCTCATCTTCGTATAAAACACCCCCACAACGAAAAGTCAGTGAGTTGGTAGTGGTTATGTACGCGTGGCCATGTGAGCGCGTTTCGAGATAAAAAAAAGTAATGGACTCTTCTCACTCGTGGCCATGCCAGAGCATTTAGTGGCCCACTCTTAATCTTAACACTCCTAAGTGAAATTTACTGGCCTCAGAAGTTTGTTGCACAAGAAAATCATTTAATCTTTTCGAAATATGAACTTTATTGAAAATCAAGAGTTTCAGTAGAAAGTTCTCTGTAATAGCCTTTTTAGTTCGCTCATTGCTAACTTAATTTTGATTGGTATTAAAGGCCACAAAGTTTTGAGTATTTATTTCTGATGCATTCATGATCTGTCCTCATACGATCCACTTGAATTAATCTTGCAGTAAGCTCATAGTCATGAATTCAAATATTATAATTTATTTCAGGCATCCATTTTCTTATGAGATATTATTAGGCTTATATACCTTTTCGTCGTGAACCCTAATGGGTAAAACACGAAATTGCCTAAGGATTACAACTCAATAAAACAGAAACAAGCGAACAGCAGCAATACAGTGGAACCATATTACTTGTTGATGACCTGTAATCTAGTTGAAAAAATTCGATAAATTAGACTGTTTCCAGTTAGAGCTTTAGAGATTTGTGTTTTTTACACATTTGAAATCATCAATCAATCATTGTTAGACCACCATTAGAAACCTAGAATCACTGGACGGCCGTTTCGTCCTGGTATGGGACTAATCAGCAGACTGTCCTCATAAATAGGAAGAATTATAATCCTAGAACAGAAAGAGACTGAAATTTGTAGGAATAAAAAAAGAGGACAAAAACAACCATTAGAAGTAGGTTTTATTTCACCTCCATATTACACAACAATAACTAAATTTCAACACACTCATTTATTGGTTTTATGAACATTTCATTATTAATTAATGAATAACATATACAAACAACCAAAATAAGAGAAGCATAAAGTAGGTTTTACATAGAATAAACTTAAGCATATGCTAAGTGTCAAACCGAATGAAATTCACACTAAACACAAATGTTGTTATATTGGAATGCAGTATATGTATGTTATGCGGAACATTTATCGTGCTAAAATGAAATAATAGTAATGCTGAATAAGACGTAATCCATCCAAAAAGAATGTTCTGAAATTTTTTTTACAAGGCTTTTCTGGATTACAGTTGTAATTTTGCAACTAATGCAAACGAAACTAGATCAAGCGGTGACAAACAAACCCAACTGAGTAAATAAGATCAACAAATGGATGATACACACTTTATTGCCATCAATTACAGACTGACAGTAAAGTGTGGGTAAATCATGAATTCAGTCACTGCTGAACTATCCATATGCATGTATCACAGTCACTCGGACTATTATTGATCTCTGAATTGATAACTATATAAAAGTCGGTTTTAAGATGACTTATCTCATCATGCTGTTACCAAGACTGAAATGAATGAAACGAAGTTAAATCTGAGATAATTTAGCGAAAAATTAAATGTTTTAGTAATTATTTAAACCTTTGAAAGAATTGAGAAAGCTAGTCAATTTATTACTTTTCATCAACAATTAGAAATGAAGTGGCAGTTTAAAAGTAAGAATAAAAGTTAGTTCATACCTAATATTATATTATTATTATTATTATTATTATTATTATTATTATTATTATTATATCATTCATAAATTCATCCTTTGAATTCACGCTATTTTCTAATAAATGAACTCCCTAATTTATGACAATGATAGAATTGTTCACTAACTATTGTTATTTTCTATATATTTTATTAAAATTTACATATAACTGACATCATTATTGATGATAACTGATTGATTCATATGGAAAGACTATGAGAACTCATTACACTCTTACTGTTCCCAATAATTCTAAACGCATGTATGAAAGTATATATTCACGTACACACACATACACATAAACTGTGTGTATGTCATCATATTTTCAATATCTTCAGCCAAATGTACTCTCCATACGCGCGGGCCTATACATGCATGAATGTTTTTACTAAAACTTGTAAACTTTCTTATTATTTTATGGAATAAATAATTTGAATTCTTTATATTTTAATTATACGTGTCTATAAGAGATTATTTTATTTATATTGAAAAGAAAGCGAAAAAATAACAGTTTAAAGTATACACAATGAAAAATCTAACATCTCACTTTCACCTCAATCATGATTTTCTGCTTTCTATAAATGATACATTTGAAAATGATGACATGACATTTGCAATGAATAGATACATCTGGCCAGGTGTTCAAACATTATATATATATATATATATATATATATATATATATATATATATATATATATATATATATATATATATATATATATATATAACATAGATTTGAGCAATATTCAACTATCCTGAATTTGTCCTATATACCTCAAGCTCTAAATAAATCAATCAACATGTAGTCAGTTTATGTTAGATAATATTTGGAAAGTCAAGCAATAACTAACTAAACTTTTAAATTACATTAAAAATAAATATATGTACGGTGTTTTCTCTGTAACTTTTCCTGTTCAGTAAAATGTTTGTTATGTTTACGATTCACAAGTTACTTTTGAATTTGAAATAAGAAAAATTCAAATATTGAAAAGTGATTTTTTCACGCAGTCATAGTTCTGGGCTTATTTACCGTGTTTAAAAATCTAATGGGATGTTGTTAGCTTCGGAATCGATTATGTAAATGATGTTCCACTAACTTACTCCTGACAGTGATTGAAAATCATTACAAATCACAGAATTCGTGGATGTGTTTTCGATCACACTTGGAAATTCTGTGTTTAACTCTGTGTGAGACCATGGATACATACAATTCTAATGAGTCTTAAATTTGGGACGAAATTGCTGTTTTGTGCTCTCTAGGTCTCATTTTATTTTCTATCTCCGTTTTCGTATAAACTGTTTCTGAGCTCTGCAAAAGTTTCTGCATAAAAAACTCCACTAAGTCATTGTTATATTTGTTGAGAAATAAAGCATACTGTTCTCGATTGTAATAGTGGTTTATTGTCTATAATAGTTTTACTCTTTCATTAACTATTCATGTATGAATCTCAGTTTCGATATTCAACGTAATTCACCATAGTTTGCTAATTTTGTACGTTACGTTATTAGTTTAAAAGGTGTGATTAGACTATACTGTTGTCCACACGAAAATAATGTAGAATATTTAAAACAGTGCGTACAGTGAGTGTCTTAACCAATGAAATACCTATCTATCAATCAACTGCTCGTCAACCTAATTACAAACTCACTGTTTCTAATTTGACTTGAAACCAAGTTTATTCTTATGGTAAGAATTCACAGTTTCCGGTTGATGATATTTAGGAGCGTGACTGAACAGGTTGTAGTGTCATATATATACCCTGAGATATTTGTTTCGATATACTTATTAAGTTTCAGTTACAAGTTACCAGTATCTTCCTACTCGTAGAACAAGTGGCTATCTGGACTAATTAGTTGTGGGGATAGTGCACTGACATTTTAAATGAAAGGTACGACGTTTGAAAATCCAGCCTGAACATCTATATCTGAGTAGAGATACACCCAGCTGGCGATTCCCGAATATGGCGACATACTTTCTTTTTCTGACTGATGGTCATATACTAAATGTACCATCAGTTGATTTCAATTTCGAAAAATTTGATCCAGAGTATTAAAAAAATAAATACAACTTGAACAAATTTTTCATTGAATTTCTTTTATTATCAATTATAATGTTATTATGAATAAATAATAATCTCTAAGACACAAATATGTTTTTGATTTTAATTTAGTTTAATTTTATTTTTCTAGCAAACAATTATAAATTGTGTTAATTTAATAAAAAAAATTTCAATTTATTAAATATATTAGATATATACATTAGAATATTTGATTCAAAGCAAACTCTTCATACCATTTAATTGTATTTCGTGATAATAAGTCAGCATTATTACTATCTATCGAATTCAGTGTACTGTATTCATTGTCATTGTAATCGGTATTGTCATTTGTATGATTACTGTTTTCATTTTTGACATTAATTAGATTCCAGTTGTTATTATCATGATTATTATCACTGAATTGATTAGCAATATTCTGTGAATTGATCAAATTCTGTATAGATTTCTGATAAGAATTATTCAACAAAGTTAATTGAATTTTAGAATGATTAATGCATGGATAATCACATTGAATATCACGGTGATTATGACTTGGATTATGGATGAATGTTGAAGTGGTTGGTAAAGGATGGAGAGCAACAGTAGCAATGGAGGAGGAACTAGAATAAGAAGAACAAGAGGAGGGGCAAGAAGATAACAATGACGATGATGATGATGACGATAAAACCATATCACATTTGTAATCGTTGCGTGAATAATTTTCATCAACATTTAAATCCTCCTTCTTCTGTTTCTGGTAATTGTGAGAGGAGCAATGAGGGAGATATGGAGAAGTCTCATGATTACTGTTATTATTACTATTTATATTGTTAGTATTACCACAGATATGCTGAATGCGATCATTTAAACAATCTAATGTATCCGATGACAAATTTTTCCATGAATTCTCTCTTGATAAAAAAAAATTGAATGAGAATGTCAGATGGTGTGTTAGATCGAGTAAAAGAGAGTTTTAAAAAAATGTGAAAAGAGAATATTTAAGTGAACAATCGTTGGTAATGAGTTATTTTGCAGCCTCTTCAATTATAGATCTATGAACATTGTTTTACAATAGACAATATTGATTTGTCCTTACTTGAATGTTTGTTATTAATTTTCTGGCCACTTTCTATATCCACATGCCACTTCCACTCAAGTAGGAACAGAACCTTTACTTGAGGTTAATTTATGTACAGAAATAAAGTTTATTTATAGGTTTATTAGTGGTCCTGGAAATAAACTAGATTTACTATTAAAAAAGACATATAATGCTTTATTTTTCTAGATGTTTATGAAAAGTTTGCGTTTACCAGCGCGAAGTGACCGTTCAATGCTTCCAGATTTCTAATGATGGCCTAACGATAATTGATTCAGGATTTCGATGTAAAACTATTCTTTATATCGGAATATTTATTTCGGATTTTTAAGTTACTGAAAATATTGAACCTGGATATGTAATCCTCGTTGAATTAATTTATATATTAAGCATAAATATTAGCCATACAGTTTTTTGATAGCATTTTCATATAGTTGTAAGTGTAGATGGATATTTTGGCTCATTGTATATGGTCGTATCTTTTACCAGTCAATTAATTGACAATGTTCTATTAAGCTTTGTATCTAAAATATTTAAGCCATGTAAACTATTACAATTTAGAAATCTACTATGGCCGGCACTGCTTCACACTTGACTGGGTTGAACTCCACTAGTCACGACTTCTCACTAGAATTCGGTGAAATTACCCCATGAAACTATTCACTAGTGAGTAAATGATAATTTTCATTTAGAAATCACAATATATGATTTTGTTGATATTTGTTCAAGTAAACAAAGTATTTCTAATTTATTCTAGTAGTAGTAAAAACTTCCTCATCGAGAATCACCTTTTCTTCTTCTGTCTTGTTGTAATGTTGAGTTTCACGCAGCTGAAGTGTTGTATATCTTTTTAGTAATTGTTTTAAGAGACATTTAAAAAGGCTTAATTCATTTCAGTCTCTAACCAACTAGGAATGAGATAGACTAGGTTATCGGAAAGAAATGATGTAACGTCTGTCAAGTAATTGAAAAAAAAATTCCCAATTCAAGCATTCATTTCCAAGGAAGTAATATTCATAAAAAGTATCTAGCTGAGCTACAAATGTTACTTACTTCAAAAAATCAATTTACTTTTATTTAGTTTTTTTGAAACTAATAATAAATCAATAAAATAGACAAAGGTGTTTTTTAAAGTTAGTTTTTATCACAAACGAGAAACTAGATGCATCGATTATAGTTGAAAATATGATCAAAAAGCATAGTCTTCGTTTATCTCCAGTCTTAAGTATCAATAGTTAAATAATCGATAGTGTTATACATTTCAAATCAGTTTAAAAAGTTCGTGGCAATCTGAACTTAATAAATGATTGGACAATATTAAGGGAGTTTGAAACAATGGCTACTAGGTTCAAGCTTTAGACTGAACGTCAACAGTAGGATGTAGACATATACAGGTAACGAGTCTCAAATAGGGAACGAACGAAGAAAAATATTTTTTTGATAAAAATAAAAATCTATTCAATCATATTTCAAGATTCATTTATGAATACACCTTTTTTAATTAATTACCTTGAATGTATGAAAATTTGAGGTGTTGTTTGGATGAACTACTCTTAATTTCATTGTCTATTCAGTGTTTGAAATTTATGGTCAGAGTGCATTTTTAAATTATTATCCTCTGTTTTTTTTTTAATAATATTTTCTAGAAATTATACAATAATTAAAACGGAATATGTATACACATATATATATCATACATTTCATATTGAAGAATTATTGTGAATAATCATATGAAGTACATTTTGAGAATATTGATTCATTGAACTTACATGGTACAAGGTGATTTTATTTGATTCAACATTGTTATTGTTTTTATATAATCATCTTTATAATTAGAATTATTATTGCCCATATTGTTATCATTGTTGTATATTGTGGATTGTTTCATTTTCTTGGTAAAACTATTAATATAACCGTCAATATCCACAGTATCTTCATTATGATGATGCTGATCGTGTGGATTTGAATAATCCGCCATAAGATCATTTTGTTTATCATTATTTGTAATTATAATTGATAATTGATCATTATCATCTTTGTTCATGTTTATTTGTGATTCGTGATGACTATGATGATGTTGAAGAGGAGGAGGAGGATGATGATTTAATAAATTCATTCCCGAATTTTTAATAGATGAAAGCTTTTTTTCATTCATATGATTATGATTATGACGATAACGATTCTCGTCAATAAATTTACGATTACGTCGCATTGATGAACCATTATCAAACATGTCTATAGCTAATGGATGCACTGTCCAATAAGAACCTTTACCAGCTTCACCAGATGGACGTGGTACTTTAATAAAACAATCATTGAACGATAATGCATGTCTTATGGAATTTTGCCATCTGTATCCATTTAAAAATGAATGATAAATGAAAAAAAAGATAAGAAATAGGATCAGTAAAATGTCAAAAATATGTAATTAATTAAAGTTACAAAATATTGGATATTGAATCTTAATCTGCTTGTTTATAATTGGTTACACATTTTTTTGGTAGTACCATCATATCAGATTAGTTTCATATTAATAAACGAAATACAAAACATTGATATGCTTACAACAAACAACTGAATGTACGTTATAATTATAGAAAATAAGACTCTCCTGATAAATTAACTTTTAATTCATACTGAAATAATTAATATCCACTTCTTATTCATAAATCACGATATGGTTGACTTTTTCCAGAATGGATATGAAATATTTTGCTTCTTAAAGCATATGTCTTATAGACCATAACAACACCAAAAAATTATACTTATTCTTAGGAAATCGATATTGGTTTTTTAGATTAGTATTAATAAGCAAGTCGTAGCATAAGTTTTATAAGCGCAAGGAGTTCATTTATATTATAAAATAAGAGACAGTGGATTGTTATTTTGCTCCAACACGTAAGCGGGCATCCTCAACCTCACGACAGATGAAACATTGGACCTTCAGGTTATGTAGTGATCGCTAAACCTTTAGACTGTTGAACCTTACATTTAGTGATTGATGTATAGTCTTATTTCAGTCACTTCGCAATCCTGTGTGACCACATACATTTTCATAAATTTTGATTTAAAAAAGAAACAACAAATTTCCGCTAATCACCTCATGAGAGAGCACATGATTGATCCTTCTAATATTTAATTCACTGGAGATTTACGTTAAGAAAGTAATCGCTAAAACACTGTAAGATAATGAATGTGCTTTATTTTAATTGTAATATTTCAACCATGTATCATTCATAAATTAATTGTATACTATGATAACATTGATTAACCAATCAATAGTGAGTTATGTTCAGTGTAAGTGTATTTATTCTGAATAAATCCAAATTAAATCTATGAAAATCATGAAATTAAGTTCTCTCATTGATTGGTTTTTTAAAAAAGTACTTAAACCTGATAACCCTCTATTCACAGTCACTTCAGTCATTTAACTTAACCATTACAAAGCTAAAAAAACATCCATTGTCATAAGCTAAACATTTATTCATAACAGTAGCTCAACAAAGTAAGCCAGTTTCTAAATACAGAATTTGTTTCATATTGAAAGTGTAAAATCTATTGATTATGCCAAAGATTTAAATTATTCAAGGCTTTTTACAGTTAATGAAACAAAGTCTTAGGAGAAAAAAGTTCCTCATAGCAGCTGGTATGAATTAGTATTTCCCAATCGTTGATGTTACATGTTAATATATATATATATATATATATATATATATATATATATATATATATATATATATATGTTTTAAGTGAATTACTTCTGTATTACCATTTAATTACAAGCTACATCGATTTTTCTTTGTTAATAATTTTTGTGTAATATTTATTTCCAAATAGTTGAAGTGAATCCTATATATTCCTATCAATATTTTAATCTCTAAATCAATAATATCAACTATTATTATTATTATTATTATTATTATTATTTTAATTATAGAGTTATGGAAGACAATTGATGAGAATGCACAATACTGTGGACTGATGAAAGTTGGACACTGACATTGTTGATCGCTGGAGCAGTGGACTGGAGTTTAAGCATATACATGCGAGACTGAAGGTCCTGGGCTCGATTCCCGTGGGTGGGAATCGTAGATGGACACTGCTGACGAGTCTTGTACCAAGAAGGAACGGCCGTCCAGTGCTTACAGGTTTCTAATAGCATCCTAAAAATGATCGATTCATTGTCTCAATAATTTTTATTTTATTATTATTAAACTGATAGAACATGACTGACGGAATGAATAGAGAAAAAACAAATATTCATGATATACAATCATAAGCTAATTACTTATGAAAAATTTTGCCTTTGTCAATTCCTTATAGGTATTAGAAAGTCAGTGTAAATCACATCTGAATAAATAATCATACTACAAGTTTATTTCTTACATCAATAAATTGTGAATTCAATACAAATCAATGTTTATTTGTAGCAAAAAGTAACCTAAAGCATAGACAATAAATGAATCATGTGCTTCATCAAGTCAAATTGGAACTTTTACCAAAATGTTATGAAAATACATCGAGATAATTGAAGTTTTCATAAACTTAGAATAATATTTTTTTATGAATTACTAATATCATATAACAAATATAATTGTTTTTCTATTCAAGAACTTTTCATTAGTTGATTTCTTCCAATTTCGTTTTGTTGTAAATTTTAACATAGAATACGATAGATCGTTAACGTGCAATAATTTGCAGATATTAAAGCCGATTCGTATGAGCTATCCATTGTGTGGATAACTGAAAATGTTCAAATACACTTATAATATTTTGTAGTGGTTGAAACCATCTATGATATGCTATGCTTTGATATACCCGCTCCAATTGTATGCATAAAATTGAATTTAAGAGGGAAAGTTTATGATGAATACATAATATGCTGTTTCAAACTCATGCAAAACATTCTTATGTTACTGAACTATCGTGACTGGGCGTATTATTTATTAACGTAAGGCTATCACCCACATTTCTTTGTGTAGATCTGTCTGGATACCTAAACATGCTCATGGATTTTAAGCATAATTATTCTGTTTGTGATGACAGAGCTTCCCGCTTGTCCAAGAGCTTCTTCATTTACACCAACTATGAATTATATATATATATATATATATATATATATATATATATATATATATATATATATATATATATATATATATATATATATATATACTTTAATCACTTCAACTCACATCACTAACCTTCTTGTATTTTTACGATAATAAGCAAATGTGTGCATAATCCATGCATAAATTTCATTCAATGTAATTTTTTTTGATAATTTTGAATTCATTGCTGAAACAATCAGTGTAATGTAAGAAAATGGTGGTTTCACATTTGGATTATTACAATCACTTGACCAATAAATGGGTACTGACTTATTCAAATAAATATTTGAAGATACATTTGGATATTTTACAGAATGAGTCAAACAATTATATGCTTCTGTAAAATTATTCGATATTAATGATGAATATGCTTCAGTTTGATCAGATTTAGGAGAATGGAGATTTGAATTTATTAAACTGTGGGGATATGAGCGGTTTTTATACTCAAACATTGATAAATTGTTTGAATTTGACATATCACAGTTATTACTTCCACTTATAAGATTATGGTGACAGTTTTCAAAATTAAGACATGATGTTTCTCGATGAGTCGTTTTATCATTTGGAAATGATAAATTCAAACCATAATTTGTAGGTTCATTTAGAAATGAGTGGAATTCACACTCACATGTTTTATTTAATGGATTCGCATGGAAACTATCTAAATAGTTCGATTTAGTACAAAAAGGATTTCGTAAGTTTTGTTTTTCATGCGATGAATGCTGTATTGAATTTAATGCCTCAACATACGGTGATACAAAAGGATCACTAGAATTTTCATTCATATCATTAGTATAGTTCACGTTTGATGATTCTTGACTACTCTTTTGCTTCATTGCATTAAATGACGTAATATTAGACAGATTTTCCGATATTGCATCTGTTTCACATAATTTCGACAGAAATAGAGGGAGTTTAGAAGTAGTGTTTGCAGTACCATCCTGTAAAATGTTACCGATAACGGTAGAAGTTGCTATCGTAGTTGTTGTAGTTGTTGTCGTGGTGGTGGTAGCATTATGGTAGTGGAGTGTGGGGATGGAAGTAAAATAAGGATATATTAATGATGATGAGGTAGTAGTGTTGGGATTAACTTGAAAGGTGGTAAAACTACTAGAATATTGTAAACTATCACATCCGTTGTTTATTTGAGGCGGCAGGTTGATCTGGAATTCTCGAACTACATGACCGAATCGTTGTGCCATTGCCTCCAACGGTGATTTTGTAACAAAGCACTTCAAATAAGTATCTGCGTCATCTGAAGCACTACACAAGCCAGCTGTTATTGTGGGAGAACTTGTGTTTCGTTCCATAACTTATATTTTAAATAACTATCTCTGTAATTTGGGTAAATAGTGGAATGTCGTTAACAAATTCTCCCTGTTGATAGATCAGCCGGTCAATCGTTTTGTATTCATTAGGAAAACCCAATTTTAGTACAAACGTTAAAAGGATCCAACTAATAGTTTGTACCAAACGCTGATTACAGATTCTTATAAATGATCCATCCAATCAAAATATTATACTCGATTTGAAATTTCAGTCATCCAATAGGCAAACCGCCGTACAGTAGACCAATCAAAACAACCTAATCGTTTAGACATAACAAGGGGGAATGCGAATTAGTCAAGCTGGTCGTTCAAATTTTACTGTTAATTACTGTATTTCTCAGAAGTGAAAAATTTTCACACACATACTCAAAGCAGTTAGGATAACTCACTTTAACATGAAGTTACTGATGTTTAGGCTGATATGACCACTCATCAACAACGTATTAATTTAAACGTTCGGTTTAATTTGATTTATAAATGACTAAATTCGATTAACAAACGTTGGTATCTAGGTCTGTACATTTTTTAAAATGACAACTGAATGCACTTCATCATTCCACTACCGTAGTTGCTACCTTGATGATGAACAACTAGCAAAACAGTTTAGCGGCCACATAAGTCATGCCCGACCGGAGGTTTGTATGAAAAACCACGAGGCCAGGATGAAACCGTGGATCTCAGTAGCATCTAACGAACTAATAGACGTTCGGAAACTCATCCTGTCTATCTCTGAACATGATGAAGAGTGAATTCAGCTGTAAAACATGGCCAGTAAGAGTAGAAGATATTCGTAGGTTACTGGTTTTCAATCATAGTTTTATCCGAAGCATTGCTCGTTTACTTTGAGACTATTGAGTAAGCAATGTTGTTGTTAGGAATCCCTTACTAGGTAAGGATGGCAGGCTAATAGATGAAGTTTTAGAACTTCATCATTTGAGGTGACTGGGACATGTGTTACAAATGCCCAACTACCGACTGCCTCGAAGAGCAATGTTTTGTGTTGTGGGAGTTAGTTGAAAGAAAGCTAGAGGTGGTCAAACCAAAACATGTCACAAATCCATGAAGTCACTGACAAGTGGAATGAGTCATGTAGGTAAGTGTAGACTAACTGGTTGTGATCCGCGTGATGACAGTAATCGATGGTCAGAGACCTTGAACAACATGGCTGAAAATCTTTTACATTGGCGCAGGTGCATCCATTCTTTGCGTTCTTTCAAATCCTTATCTTCTGAATTCTTCATCACCTTTATCATTCTCTTTTTAAGTTTACTTCACTGAATTGTATATCTTGAATAATATAATCGAGCTCTGATCTCTCTGATTACTGCTGATACTTCTTCTACTTCCACTATTATGGAATTTTAATTGAAAATCGTGTCTCTGTGCTGATGTAGTGTGGCAACCTAAACTTATATACGTACGTACGAAGTTCTACGGTGTATCTGACTGACTGACTTCACCATTCATATTAATCCGAGAAACATGATACCACATAAAATTAATGTTAGCTAGGATTACTCTCCATTCGTATAATTGGCTATAATCTACTTATTAATTGGTATCTGACATAAACACTAACAATAGTGCGGAAACATATTCGGCATTTTAGGTGAAAATCACTTAGTCCCTACTCGTTAACTTAACGCTCATTTTCTACAATATATTTACGGCGTAGTTGATCCTAACCAATAATTTGTATGAGCATTAACAGTAATTAGATTTAGACAATGTATGCTCTTTTAAGCTTTGTAACTTTCGTTAAAATAAGTTGACCTGTTTAAGAAATAGATTAAAAAATCAGTATTGACATTTCTTGACACTGTTATTTCACTTTTTATTCAATATCAGCTTGACTTTTACAACATATTTATTTTTCTTGTAAGACTGAGATGTACTTAAAATTGACTGATTACTGAATAGTAATCAATGTCATGATTACACAAAAGCTTTTCTGATGAATATCAGCTAGAACGAAAACTAAGTCTTAAGCTTTCTTTTCGACCATCTTCAACCACGTTCGTATATATGAACATATAGTGCACACGATGTCGAGCAGCTTGGATTGATTGTCATATAGTATTCTGTTAGCTTTAACAAGGACCTGACATACATAACAATGGTCAATACTCGGTGATCGATTAATTGTAAATGATGAGGCATACAGTTTCTTCTATTTAAAAATACTTTAATAAATAATTTACAGTGAGAACTACATTAACAGTGAATACTACTTGATAAATTAATAGCTTTATTATTTCACCTTGTATGTATGTTAGCTCAGTCAATCATGTGTATCTCGTTGATAGTTTTTAGTGTCATTATGATTATTTTTATTATTTCTGTATCTGAAATTGTACTTCTGCTATTGTATGATGTTCTCATAAGTATTTTCTAACATTTTTATTTTATTTTATTTCATTTCAAAGTCATGATTGATGCCAGATTAATTTGTTGAGCTGAATTGTTTACCCTTATATTAAATGGTTTCTTTGATCAGTATCTTGTTTGACATGTAAACAGTTTCATGTTTATTCAAAATTTATTTTAATATGTAGTAGATTTCACTGGTGTTGTTGTGCGTTTTACTGCTTTTTGAAATAATTAAGCATTCTTAATATAATCAAAAGAATTATGTAGCAATAATGAAAGCTATCAAGTAGAAGTTTATACTGATTGCGATCAAGAGAGAGTTTTTGACTTTCTAGTTCCTATAAATATCTGAACATAAACTACATTGTAATTCTGATCCACGATTCCTAATTTATAATGTTTCATGTAATCATTCTTTGAGAATTATTTCATATATTACAGCGTATGGTTAATGTACTGTTTTTTTACCTTAGGTTCAAGATAAAGTCATTGAATTGTGATTCACTAATCATTGTCAGTCATGATATTTTGAACCATACAATGAATATTTGGTTTATCCATGATGAGTTCGATTCACTTTAAAGCTTTAAAATCAAGCAGATTATATAAATTAAATTAACATCGAAAATTAGTTTATTAAAACGTTTGTGAATTTTTCAATAAATCTTTGATAAATCGGAATTAGAAAATGAGTTCATCTTTTCTCTAACTCAATATATAATGTTAGAAAATTAGTTTTTTCTCAATATGAAGTTTAATTAGGTACAATATTTTAGTTTTATATTTTCCAGTGTAACCTTATTTAGGATCAACATGTTTATACTGAATTTCATGCAGTATAACAAGTGTGAACTTTCACTCAATGTCATAATAATATTCTTTGTACTCATCTGTATGAACTTCATGTGTGTTTTACGATAAACCTGGACATATGTTTAGTTTACATTGTGTTTATGAACCAAACATCAAGTGTGTATAAAATCAGTATAGAAATTTAAGTATTCAGCTCAATGATGACGTTTGAGGATTTGTCTTGGTATTGTCGTTTGCAGAGTCAATAAATCTTTATTTCTATATCAGTCTTTATGTTCGCATTTTTCGTGGTTAGAATTACAATGATTCCAATTCCAAAATATAGGCAGTAGAACCCTAAGATATTGTACAATAACCTCAATCTGTAAATTTTTTTATCGTTTCTTCTCATTTATCGCTGATAGTTTTTGAAATGAAAGAGGTTTGACGTAATCAAACATCCAAATCAATATTACATGATGGTATGCGTGAAGAAAATTGGAACAAGTTGTATGTGATTGCTTTTACTATCTAATCGACTAAATATTCATATTATATACGGATGATAATAAAGAAATAATGACAGAAATCAATTTGCCAGTAAAGATTATTCCTATTTATCAGTTTTTTTTTCATGAAAATTTGTTTTTCTACATTATTTATTTAGTTTAGGGGGGATTTCTGTCTTTAACTTAATTATTAAATGATTATGTAATTGTTTGTAACGTAAAGTTTATTTATGTTTGTTTAAAATATCTTCCTAGTTCTAATACCAAATGTATACAGTGATTTTTATACAGTTTCTAGAGGAATTTGTTTTAATTGTGAACTTTTATTGAAAATTTACAATAGTTGTAGGATCCGTTTTTGAAGGCTTAGTTTGTGAAAATCCCTCTATGTATACATTTGTAATTTGTCTTTATTGAATCGTTCAGTTGTGTATTTTGTTGATCTGTTCGACTCCATTTGAGATGATAATATTTGTATTTTAGTACGGTTTCTATTTCTTCAGCCTTTACTGAGTTTCTATGTTTCTTTCTGAACTGCATTAAGTTGTTTAAGCCATTTAGTCATTGTGACAGCCATATTGATTTGTTCCTCTTTTGATTGGGTTGCGTGCTTTGACTGGAATTGTGCATTTTGATTGTGAACTGAAGCACTCTTCTAGAATAGGAAACACTCTATGTTATAAAGCAACCAAATATTATCTGTCGAACGAATCTGATCTATCCAGGAGGGATAGAATTTCATTTATTTGTTGCTGTTTATTTGAATAATTGAATAATTTTTGGTAGAATAACTGGACGGTAATATTGTTTAGGTAGTGATGTATATTTATATTTATGATGGAAATTAGAACCGTTATTAACCCAAATCACTTGTTTTGAATTCAACTGGGCAAGACGCGTTTCTAAACTACCTGAACAGTTATTCCTCAGTACAAACCTCAGTTTGGATCCTACGTTAGTTATTAGTTAAATACACTTTAAAATGTTATTAAAGCAACGATCAAATATAATTAGAGAATAATTAGAAAGTTTCTACACTTTAATTAGTGCTCATTTATAATCTTATGTTATATCGAGTTTAGACTTTTTAAATATTATCATCGATATCTTTCAATTAGAATCGATTTGTTTACAAGAAGGAACTTTAGCCAGTTTCTGATATAACACAATATTCTGTCAATGTGTAGCCAGTGTTTTACTATCTCATTCAAGCGACACTACTCATTATTATAATAAACAAGAATTTCAGTAAATCCACTTATTACGATATATGCATTACTTACTTACTTAAGTCTGTTACCCCTAACGGAA